TCAGATGAGGAAAAACTGAATTGATTTGTCTTTACACACGATAAAACAACAGAGATTAAATTTTGAATGGAGGTATCTGATTTAGCAAGATTAGGTACTTTTAAGGTGTATCAAACCCTTTGCTTGGAATATTAACAGTTTTTGTCTTTCCCATGACTCAGATAAAAAGTTCTCAGCTTTTAATACTCCTGAACAAAATCTTATATTCATATGTATTTCATGATTGTATTCCCATTTTCTACTTTTGATGTCGGATTTATGACAGAACTTTATTACCTTCATCTTCGAGCTTCTTGTTAGAGTAATTCAAACAAAATATTAATTTCAGGTTGGTATTCATCATGAAGAAACATTGGACACCTGGGAGCACTGGACAGGTGTTTCACCCTAGTATGGGACTCCTCAGCAATGCTCCTTGCCGGAGATCTAACCCAGAACCTTCAGGTTTCGCTGCCAGCACGTTACCATTGAGCCACTGGATCGGATTTCAATGGTCCATATTAATTAATTAACCTAGTTCTTATTGGTGACCAGCTTCGAGAGGTGATTCCCGAAATTCTAATGAGAAGTCGTGACCAGTGGGGTGAACCAAGCCGGGTATGAGGACAAATACTCAATGACGCCATCAAATGGAGGTCGTGCTACATCGTGAAATGACAAATAGAAAATATGGACTATTGGATTCCTACCCAGTGGCTGAGTAGTAGCCTACCCCCCTCGGACCTCCCCCCCCCACCATAGCATAGCAGTTTACGCTATAACTGTGACTGCTTTTTGTCATGGCACTATCCAACCAACATTTCTGGTATGGTAAGACCTCGAGGGAAAAAGCATTCCACCAGTATGGTTTGTTGGATCATTTTGATATGCTATCGGTCAGGAAGATGCTCATGTTTTGTGCTTTAACAAAATCAGGGTTAATATTAAACAATACACTAAAATTAAACCTCAGGTTAGGTTTTATATTTATCTACAGATGGTTCAAAAAACCTTTTTAAGTACCTCCAATGCTTTACACTAAGTTATCTAGTCCTTAAACTAATTGACAAAATGGATTAAAGTCGTTAAGTCCGTTAATCATGACTTGTGCAATTAGCAAGTGATTTTCAAGCAACTGGACTTATGTTTGAACACCACTCCATTTGAGAAACTCATTATTATTATAAGCGCTCACAATGCCTAGCTCATGATCTAGTATAGAGAACATGCTCTGGGTTGAGTTGCACCACAATCGTCTACACACAAAAGAGTACAGATGATTGTAGTAATATTGATATCAGGGTAATCTAATTAATAAAGTAAGGTTCCCTAAATCCAAACTCAGCGTCTTAATATTAACCCATACCTGAAAGTCCTGAAAGTGATCAGACCCCCCTGCCCCCCGATGGGGTTGTCGTAACACAACCTGAAGAGTAGCAACTTGGAATAAAATAGCCATACAGAACTCTTTGATTTTCTGTAACTTTCTAGTCAGCCTCTTCTAATGATAAAAGCTACTTTCACACTAGTTAATTCTCACAAACCAGTCAACTGAATAAAAGGTGATAGTCATGTAAAACTAATCCACACTTTTTTATTTCCAGCGAAATGAAACCGAAAACGAGAGAGGTGAGGAAGCTATTAGCGTTGGCTAACACTTAGTAACTATTTTGGCTTATTTAGGATGCCGACAAGAAGGCGATGGTGAGTGGAACTGTCACCGAAAAAGATGGTGCCCTGATAACCTCTCAGGAGAGGAGGCTGGGACGTGGGAAGAATACTTTGAAACGCAGTTTAACTGACCCTCAACAACGCTTCAGTTGCCCAGCTTCCAAGCTGAACGTCAATGGGACGTTGGTGTCGGTTCTTCAACTCTCCGTGAAGTTGGAAAAGCTGTATCGAACCTGAAACGATGGAAAGCAGCAGGATCTGACAGTTTGCCACGTGAGGTTTTCAAAGATGGAGATAGGAAATCGTTGATTAGAGTGACGAAGGTACTGCATAGCGTACGGAAGTCAGCGGTAGTGACGTCAGACTGATGTACTTCACTGATCAATACGACAGATGGCATATTGATGTAGTGTACTCCATGCTAAATATTTATTTAATGATAATCGGTAAGAAAGTCTACACATCACATAAAAGGTTTATTGTTACCAAGAATCTAGAAGTACCCATTAGTACTCATAGAGTTCATACTTTCCACGAAATAAGAACTTATAAGGTTATAAAGGAAATGAACAGATAAAGTTTACAATGTTTAAGAACACACTTTACATAGTTCAATCTACTGTGAGAGTATAAATCGAGTGGGGACTTTGAAAGATCATAAATCCATATTAGATTTATTCATTTGAAAGTGCATCACAAAATATTTTATCTAATAGATGACATTTCGAGAACATTCTATCCCCATAATAGTATCATGTCATAAAGTCATAGAAATGATCAAGAAACTAACAACGGCAACATGATCTCACTATGAACCAGTTCGATGTCTCATAGTAAAACATGACAGTCCTACGCTCGACAGCTTATACGATCACAGAGATCACTGCCGCGGGGTCTGAAGCTTCAAAAGAAACAGCTGTCTACTGATCCTTTGTTTGAAACGCTCCATCATCTAATATCGATTTGAAATGAAAACCAGAATGACTGAATGCAACAAATTGCCCAAAAGTCAATCAGATGAGGAAAAACTGAATTGATTTGTCTTTACACACGATAAAACAACAGAGATTAAATTTTGAATGGAGGTATCTGATTTAGCAAGATTAGGTACTTTTAAGGTGTATCAAACCCTTTGCTTGGAATATTAACAGTTTTTGTCTTTCCCATGACTCAGATAAAAAGTTCTCAGCTTTTAATACTCCTGAACAAAATCTTATATTCATATGTATTTCATGATTGTATTCCCATTTTCTACTTTTGATGTCGGATTTATGACAGAACTTTATTACCTTCATCTTCGAGCTTCTTGTTAGAGTAATTCAAACAAAATATTAATTTCAGGTTGGTATTCATCATGAAGAAACATTGGACACCTGGGAGCACTGGACAGGTGTTTCACCCTAGTATGGGACTCCTCAGCAATGCTCCTTGCCGGAGATCTAACCCAGAACCTTCAGGTTTCGCTGCCAGCACGTTACCATTGAGCCACTGGATCGGATTTCAATGGTCCATATTAATTAATTAACCTAGTTCTTATTGGTGACCAGCTTCGAGAGGTGATTCCCGAAATTCTAATGAGAAGTCGTGACCAGTGGGGTGAACCAAGCCGGGTATGAGGACAAATACTCAATGACGCCATCAAATGGAGGTCGTGCTACATCGTGAAATGACAAATAGAAAATATGGACTATTGGATTCCTACCCAGTGGCTGAGTAGTAGCCTACCCCCTCGGACCTCCCCCCCCCACCATAGCATAGCAGTTTACGCTATAACTGTGACTGCTTTTTGTCATGGCACTATCCAACCAACATTTCTGGTATGGTAAGACCTCGAGGGAAAAAGCATTCCACCAGTATGGTTTGTTGGATCATTTTGATATGCTATCGGTCAGGAAGATGCTCATGTTTTGTGCTTTAACAAAATCAGGGTTAATATTAAACAATACACTAAAATTAAACCTCAGGTTAGGTTTTATATTTATCTACAGATGGTTCAAAAAACCTTTTTAAGTACCTCCAATGCTTTACACTAAGTTATCTAGTCCTTAAACTAATTGACAAAATGGATTAAAGTCGTTAAGTCCGTTAATCATGACTTGTGCAATTAGCAAGTGATTTTCAAGCAACTGGACTTATGTTTGAACACCACTCCATTTGAGAAACTCATTATTATTATAAGCGCTCACAATGCCTAGCTCATGATCTAGTATAGAGAACATGCTCTGGGTTGAGTTGCACCACAATCGTCTACACACAAAAGAGTACAGATGATTGTAGTAATATTGATATCAGGGTAATCTAATTAATAAAGTAAGGTTCCCTAAATCCAAACTCAGCGTCTTAATATTAACCCATACCTGAAAGTCCTGAAAGTGATCAGACCCCCCTGCCCCCCGATGGGGTTGTCGTAACACAACCTGAAGAGTAGCAACTTGGAATAAAATAGCCATACAGAACTCTTTGATTTTCTGTAACTTTCTAGTCAGCCTCTTCTAATGATAAAAGCTACTTTCACACTAGTTAATTCTCACAAACCAGTCAACTGAATAAAAGGTGATAGTCATGTAAAACTAATCCACACTTTTTTATTTCCAGCGAAATGAAACCGAAAACGAGAGAGGTGAGGAAGCTATTAGCGTTGGCTAACACTTAGTAACTATTTTGGCTTATTTAGGATGCCGACAAGAAGGCGATGGTGAGTGGAACTGTCACCGAAAAAGATGGTGCCCTGATAACCTCTCAGGAGAGGAGGCTGGGACGTTGGGAAGAATACTTTGAAACGCAGTTTAACTGACCCTCAACAACGCTTCAGTTGCCCAGCTTCCAAGCTGAACGTCAATGGGACGTTGGTGTCGGTTCTTCAACTCTCCGTGAAGTTGGAAAAGCTGTATCGAACCTGAAACGATGGAAAGCAGCAGGATCTGACAGTTTGCCACGTGAGGTTTTCAAAGATGGAGATAGGAAATCGTTGATTAGAGTGACGAAGGTACTGCATAGCGTACGGAAGTCAGCGGTAGTGACGTCAGACTGATGTACTTCACTGATCAATACGACAGATGGCATATTGATGTAGTGTACTCCATGCTAAATATTTATTTAATGATAATCGGTAAGAAAGTCTACACATCACATAAAAGGTTTATTGTTACCAAGAATCTAGAAGTACCCATTAGTATTCATAGAGTTCATACTTTCCACGAAATAAGAACTTATGAGGTTATGAAGAAAACGAACAGTTAAAGTTGGCATTGTTTAAGTGCACACACTTTACACAGTTCAATCTACTGGCATCATTTAAGAAAAGATACAAAAAGACAACAAACATGCAATCTATTTTTGAATGAACTTACCTATAAGAATTCAGAGACAAACTTCTTTGTCTTTGGCAATGTAACTCTTCTTCATGTAAGCGATCTAACAAGTAGTTCAAGTATTCAGCTGCATCCTGTTGTTCACCAGATACAAAATGTGCTGGTTTAGTAAGCGTTAATACAGCTCGTAAATCACGAACAGTTGGAATCTGTTGACGAAATACATACAAAACGACTAGAATCTCATGGTTGTTAACATGGTTAACATAGTTGTTAACATATTAACACGGTAGTGATATATTTAGTCTGATATTCATGGTTAAATATTCAACCAATCAATAACCGATTGCTTTAAGTATATCACTGATTATGTGCAACATCAATCATCATCAATATCAACATAGGACCAGGTATTACTGCATAACGGTCCGAGTCGCCATAGCTCATATCAGCACATCAAGTAGAAAGGTAGTAAGGTGATGTGCAACATCACTCTTAATTGTTAGTTTGATGCAACATATTCTGTACGAAAAGTGTTTATTCGTTAAATAACAATCAATTAGATTTATGACTGAAGCCAAGAGAATATCTCGGTCACGACTAGACTCGCATTGCTTGCCTTAGCGTTACTGTCTATACGAATAATAATCTACCAATCAAGGTTATCTCCGGCAGTTCATTCAATCATAATACTAGTGTAGGTGACGAGTTATAATAATAATAATAATAATAATAATAATAATAATAATAATAATAATAATAATAAGGGGATTTGTGAGTTGACACCTGGTTACTTCAGAGCAATGCGCACCGATCGATGAATATACTTAGCATAATTCAATTGCTGTTTCATATCATACACAAACCATTATAAGCATTTTCATATGCATATTTATCTTTGTGAAATTAAACAAAGAAAAAACGATTAGAGAGGAATAACAAGGATCCATGACAAATATTCTTAACGACTGAATTATTTGCGAAAAAAGGTTATCCTAATTGATTGCACCCACTCTACATAGTCTGTCTGGAATTTTTGAGACAATAAGAATCAACAATAATATACTTAAGACCAATAGTCAGAGACGTCATGCCCCGTCTTGGTCTGGCCACCATGAACCCTCTTCGACCTAATCCAACTTCGGCTAACATCTCACGCTGAGGTAGGCAGTGGCTAAATATGCGCAACACATATCCAAGCCACCTTGATAGGTGAAATGATACAACCTTACCGACTTACTTGCCTAGTACCCCTCACCTAACCTCAATATTGCTCACACGGTAATCATATCTTCTAGGGAAGTTCTACTCTGCTTTTATCTGGCGGGGTTGTTTCCACACAAGTAAGTAGAGGAAGGTGAATTCTGATGCTATCGCCGGATTGATAAACACAAGAGGTTCACCTAGGAGAGTCAGCAAACGTCAGTTTTCAACCAGTAATGTAGATGGACTCCACGATTCAGAACGGAAAAAAAGAATATGAACCTACCTTGGTCACTGGTAATCGTAGTAATGAAACACCTTAAGGTGCTCTGACACCTTGTGGATCAGACGTCAAGTCAAACATTCAAGGAGTTTTCCTTTCTTTGAAAACAACTGCTTCGGTCTGGGTGTCCGCAGGATACAACTTATAAAACAAAATCATCAATGAACTATACAAAGCACTTAAGCAATTCGTTCTGTCACCGAATCCCGACTCAGCGACTCAATGATCTTTATATCAGTGTTACTTTCGCAGCTGAACCATACTGCCTTTTCGTTATCGTTTTCGAATCTCTCTCTCTCTCTCAATCAATCAATTCAGAATTCATCTTCACCATGAGCCTATCAACAGACCTTGTGGCATCCCTTGTATGCCTTACTGGTGTCACACTCAGTGCCAGAGTTGAAGATGAACTAGTCAACTGGAGCCCAAGTAAGAATCGACTGTGCACTGTTAGGCTAGGAGGTTCAATTACAATGCGAAGTAACTGGCAAAGGAAACAATATTTCTTAGTCATATCTACCTAAACTCCAAATGACTGCAGTAAGGATTGCAGTTGGGGGTGAGTTCTACTATCAACTGAGTGCCCTATTTTATCAAGCAAGCTCCATAGATATGGTAGTGGTAGTTGACGGACTTGAATGAACAGTTCGGACCTCTGGGTTCAAAGAAGGATCATTTTGATATAATTTGCTTCGTTACGTTTAGCAGAAAAATCCAGCGCTCATGAGGTGAATGTACGTACATTCCAGTGGATAAAAAGCAATACAAAGGTGTTCGTTTAAGGATCGAATATGCACAATAGTCAACGGAAAATCATAAGCATCAGTAAAAAAATATCAGAAGAGAGTGGATTATGCAGTCAATGGAGATAAGTCAGTTTCAGGTCAGATAATGGGGAATGCCTTCTGAAACTCTGCCCAGATCACAACTCATTCCTAGTAAGCACTAGCTTTTGGTACAGTCATTACCACTGTGCTACTTGAAACCCTTCTTTTGAAGCTCGAACGTGAACTCAAATACATTATAATGCAACCAGCCAATGGTGACATGTGTGCTTCTGAAATACTTGTTCGGACTCTGTCTACACTTTGGTGTATGCAAAGTTCAACTTTAATTTTGATGATAATCGAAATTATCATCCTAAGTGGGTCGAATGCAAGAGAAATGGTTGTACCTAGTATTGTAACTAAATACCGAACCGAGTTAAATACAAGACTAGCTATCAAACCCCGAAAAACTTCAGATGCGAAATGGCTGCATTCACAAGACGCTATGACAATGCCACGTAAAGTTGCTTAGTGCTACAAAGAACGTCTCACTAGTTAACACTAGGTCTCCACGACTTTCCTGAAACTTCTTGGCGCTTGTCGATCTATCCCCACTGACAACAAGTACAATAATATGCATAAATCCATTACAAGACAGATCAAGCAGCATTTGTATAAAAACGAGACCAAGTGATCAGAATGCGTGAATGAGACAGAAGTAACAGCTGCATCCAGCAATGCTAAGCTGTCCCGGTTCATATGAGTCACCAGCACCAAGAAGCCTGATGTTAGTGAGACGGTTTGTGAAGTAAACGGTACGTCGATCACCAACTTTCGTAGACACCTAGAACATGAAACGGAAAAACGAAAACATTTCAGCCAGTCTATTACCTCGGTGACATCAACTTCAAGGTACTGAGCTTCATAGTCAGCTAAAACCGATCCACCTAACGAAGCAGTGGTTTGTAAGGAATTCCAAATACTAAAGCATCATAGGGCACCCAACCCAGGCAAACTATATCCAGCTCTTACCAAAGATAGGAGTTAGACTTTGGTCAGGGGAACTGAAAACATTGGGAGAGTATCGCAGACTGAGAATGTTCTATCACTCTGTAATTAAACCACTGTCGTACCCATCTCTAAAATAGGTCTACCTAATGCGTATGGTAGTCATCAGGACATCATTCGGCTACGACTAGCATTTAAAGTGCTGACTGCTAACATACTTCACAGGCTCTGCAAATCGCATGGAAAACTGACACACATTTCTTTCAAATCGTGCATGCCCACGCATTGCAGATCAATGATCCTTGCGTTTCGTAATATTAGGACCACTTTTGATATTTTGGACAGGGAGGAACTGTGGAAGTGTCTGTTAGAGAGGGGAATCCCTGAGGATTTTGTTTACATCTTGAAAGTCCGATACTCTAATACCTCATGTGGAGTGAGAACACTCAGCTGACTTTCTCAAATGTCCCAAACCGATAGTGAAGTCTGACATGGTTACCATATTTCGCTATTCTACTTGAATCTTACTATCAAAAACATTACCAATACAGTTCTGGAAATGTGTGGTGATCGTCAGAGACTTTTCGACCTTGAATATGAGGGAGATATAATTTGACTGTGTGACAACATATACAAGCTACTCAAATCACACCTAACCAACTGATTATCACTGCTTCTGCAAGGTAGGCAGCAGCCTGTAGCCACATACCCTTGGTGGTAAATCATCCGTTGTCGAGAAGCTTGTGCACCTGGGCAGTTGTGTGAGCACTGATAGAGATATGATTGATGGAATTTCTAATTGCATATCGAAGCCCAGAGCGGTATCCACCAATCTCGGTTACCCTTTGGCACCCACATGACGTTACCCTGCCTGTAAGACTGAATATGCAATACACTGATGTAAATAACTCCAACCAATGCCTGTGAGACTTGGTTTCTCTACGCTGATTATGTCCGAGGACTTTGCATATTCTATCCCCATGATCCCAATAGGACTGCTAGTGTCTGCTGTAAACAACTGTAAGTAGTCCTTTGTTACAGCAGCATATGTTTGGACGTGAGGAAGACCGTCATTCATTTAATATAGTCGTCTTCAAATAACAGCTTCGGTGGCTCAGAAATGTGTTTCACATGTCATCCTAGTATCTCCCACAATTCTCACTGTTTACTTGCCCTGGGATTTACTGGAGAAAGTGGAGGGGTGGCCAGTGTATAAAAGTGGTGACAGTTGTGTTGGGTTAGCATCGGTTAGTGCCAAACGATTCCTTGGATGGGATCTGAAAGATCACGCAGGTCAGTAGCTTGAGACAATAGAAGACATAGCTTATCATCGAAACCAGTGGCACTCAAGCTGCAGTTTTCTTATCTCTTCCGTCACTGGAAAGTAAAATGAAGGTAAGGAATGTTTCTTTGGATGAATCTTTGACATTGCCTCTTTACTAATCCATTTTTGCTTTCAATAGCTGGATTTCCTCTCTCTATCTCACATTTCTGTATTCCGAGTGCTCCTATATTATTTTGTGCGGTATATCTCTTTTTGTTGTATCAACCTTGAATTTGTAAGAAAATCAAGTAAAATAGGAATAACCAATCAAAAAATGAGTGTTACTTAGTTTCGCGTAGCTTTGTGTAACAAGTGATTACCTATATTCAGAAATACTACACAGCTTTAAAAACAGGATTAACTGGTCACTTAAAGCTTGTTAGTCACAGCAAGATTCACTGGTAGGAATTCAAATGTTTGGCCGAATAAATCGCGGCGCTAAAACTGCTTTTAATGTCAATACACAAACATTTGTAGCGCAAAGCTAAGAACATATTTCTGTAGATAAATCAGACCAGTAGGAATAACCAGTTCACTTTACCATGACATTAAATATTTACACCTCACGTTTAGCTAAATAATCATCCAGTGACTGATCATAAGATTCCGGATTTATATTGTATTTCGTGAATAAAAACCTCAGGAGCACAATCTTTATCGTACCTTTCAGTTAAAATACAAAAGATTCATTAGGCTGTGAAACATTATTTTGGAATAATTTGAGCCCGAGAGTACGATGTCATGATTTGCTATGAATAAGATTGCAATTTTATCCTGAGTTGCTAGCATTAACTACGCATAAAGAAATATGGAAGAGAACAACAATCCACACTTATATCAATCTAGTATCAGAATAAAAATTCCATAGTAAAAAATTGCTGATTATAACAGGCACAGAAACCTTACGACGAGAAATCGTTAAGATATTCTACTACTCCGTTAGTGGAGCTGTGGCTCAATGGTTTAGGAAGATGACTATCAACCATTGGGTTACGGTTTCGAGCCGAACTCCACCTACCGAGGTTTGGGCAGTCAGTTAGTATCACTAGCCCTCACACAATAGGTATGGCTCATTGGCTACTGAAAGGATGTACACAAAGTAACCGAGTGCGTTTCGTTTCGTTCTCTCGTTATTCTGTTAAGTGTATATAGATGGTAAGAATTCAAGACTACCGTCTCCAGTGATAAAAGATTATAGTAAGCGGCGATTTGACGAACAGACTATGCGAGAATACTTGTGTGCTAAAGTAATGTCTCCGCTTCACTACTTTACTTTAAAGAACATATCAACAATCCATGAAATGGATGTTAAATGAAGAAAGTTAAGGAACTAAGAAAAATAAAAGTATAATAATTACTTAATCAACTTACTTGGTGTGTATCAAGAGAACGAAAAAGTGAAAACAGATGAGCATGTAAAATTCCTTGATTTCCAACTGGTAACTTTTCACTATCTGATGGCCATGCACCTTCAACGGGATGTGAAACTGGCAAAATTAAGTTATTTGACAAGTTGAAATTTGAAAGTGAGGAGCAAGAAGTTACAGCTGTGCTGGTCAATGTATCTGGTTTGTGAAATCCAAGTAAAGCATTACGGAATTCTGAGCAGTGATAAAGTAGTTGTAAAGCAGCATTTGCATAACAGGTATTGCCTACATTCAAAAGACCACTATAGCCAGTAACTGAACGATTTGCTTTCTAAAGTAAACAGAAGAAAATTAATAAAATCTCATTAATTATCAAAAAACCTACAGTGCTAACTAATTGTAAATAGAGAAAAGCAACTTGAAACGATGGTGTGAAGCTGTTATTAAATCCCTACACCGGGCTTTGCATATGTTTGTGAGGGGAACTGTTACTGTGATAATGGTTTACATGCATTGTGAGAGCACCAATTGGTTTCAGTACACTCTTTAAACGCGTACTCGCTCATTACCTTTATCGTACACTGAGATAAACATTCGAGATTTTATTATAAATGATAGTGTATGCCTTTGATAATATGAACATTCTGAAAACATATTAAGTTAGTGCGACTTGATGACCACAGAAATAAATGGAATCAAAATAAAGGGAATAAAATAATCCTAATCCGTATTAGATGTTGTACAATTGAAGTATTTTTGGAAACTAGGAAGACTGTCCTTCAAAGTGTTTGAGATAACCTTCAAATAATTCGTGTTTTCGGTGGAAGTCTCATTCGCAATTTTCCTCTGTGTCAGATTCCTTATAAAACTTTAACGATTCCTGAGCATTAACCGACGCCGCTCTCGTCGTAATCTCTTTCCTAACCCACCACTGCCACGATAATGCCATCTCCTCTATGAGATACAAAGCGTTAAAAAAGGTCGACCCTGAAAATACCACACTCCCACCTACCCCGCAACATACCAATGACGACAACATGGGTTCATTCATAGCCAGATTCACAAAAAGAGACAAAAGTATCAAACTCATGTATATGTTCCATGTGACCAGTACAAATGGATGTCCGTTAATCACTAAGCGCATGCATCATTGTCACTAGCCCCTCTTTCTCATGTACCTCAAGAAGAATTAGCCTTCAACGGTGTGGGTAGCGGGGAAGTATCAACCACCCTAACGACTCTGTCGGCACTAAAGTTCTCCCACATCATTATCAACTTTTCACACCTTTACCTTCGAATTTTTCTTCATATCCCTCGGTCAGAATTCCATTATCTCTAATTTCTTCTGGCTGTGCAGCTCTTGACAGCGATTCGAGTTCATGGAACAGCATCCCTTATCTGTTGAATAAAGCCACTCCATAAACTACATATTGCAGCCTTCAATGTCTGTACCGTCTGTCAAGTAGACCAGCAGGTCCCGCTAACAGAAACTCTGGTACCTCTGGCCGTGGACACGTACTATGTTTGTCAGACACGCATACAAGATGTGTGTGTTTACTTCACTTAACCTCACCAGGTCCGACCGATAGCTGCTACCTTGACGTGGTGGTCGGGCTTGCATATCACAATGACCCAACGAGCTATGGTTGTGGAACACTTGTCCCCTCGAGGTCCTTGGATAGTGATTAGACGAAAAGCAGTTACCGTTGTGGTGTAAATTACTACACTAAGATGGGGAGATGGGGGGTCTTAGGGCGAAGTCGTACTGCTGTTAGCTGGATGGGGTGTGACAGCAGTAAGGTATTTCCCTTAGTTGGCCAGCAGTGTCACGGTGATGCTACTTTCTCAGTGAAAGGGAGGGATGGGGTTAGAAAAGGTCGGCTCCAAAAATAACACACTCCACCATACCTCACGGTCTTCCGGGCCTGTGGTATTGGTTCATTTGTCGTTTCTTTTCGACCATCCGGCCCCAAAACAGCAAAAGCTCAAAACAACCATATACAAAAGGCTGCGTGTGACAGGCCTCAAGCAGATGTCCAACGGGCTTTCCGGTCACAAATCTCTTTCAAGTACTTTAAGAAGAAATAGCCTTCCACGGTGTGGGCAGCCGAGAAGTGTCAACTACCCGCACAACTCTACCAGTACTCAAGTTCCTTCAGACTGCTACCCACCTCCCTCATCATTACCTTCTAGTCTTCCGTCACATCCCTCGATTAACGATACTACATCATCTCCATCGTTGATCAGGAAGTTTTATGGTAATGTCTTTCATTGAAAGGTGTCCCGAGTAAGTAGATCACCTAATTGATGAAGGCTCTCTACTCGAACACTTGTGGGCGTATTAGAGCTTATGGTGAGATGCCCAGGGAGCTGTGCTTGCCGAGTGGTGTCCGTCAAGGCTACCCACTCTCTCCATTCTTATTCAATTTTATCACAGATGACCTTATGTAGGTCTCCCTCTCGTCACCTGACTACACAAACGTTAACCTAATCGCAGGAGAATTTTTGTTAGACCTGGAATACCCAGATGACATAGTCCTGTTAGGTGAAGACACTGACAAGATGCAGAGTCTTCTGAACACTCTGAGTGGCAAGTTGAGAATGTTTCGGATGCGTTTCTCACCACCTAAATGCAAACTGTTGCTCCACAATTGATCTTCAAAGGTGTCCCGCCTCGGCTAACAACAGAGTGTAGTCGTTCAGTGTGTTGACCACTTCACTTACCTGGGGAGTAGGATCAGTCCTCCTCCGGTGGCTCACTGGCCGATGAAATCTCTGCACGAATACAAAAGGCTCAGCTGGCCTTTCCTAACTTACGATACCTGTGGCGTCACCGTCATATCCGATTGTCTACTAATGGTCGCATGCACTGCACCTACACAGCATTCCACTCTCCTCTACTGTATGCCTGCCTGTGAAACATGGCCATTCAAGGTGGAAGACATGAGAAAACTGGCTGCAGAGGTTTGACCACCATTGCCTTCGTAGTATACGTCGTATTCCGTGGTGTCACCACGTAACGCAGAAGTCAGGTGTACAGTTCTAAGGAGAAGAGGTAATTACGTTGACACGTTTGTGAACCTTCATCAACTGAGATGGTTGGCACATGCGTGACACCCATAGGGGAATTAGTTTGAATAATATTGTGTCCACGATCCTAGGCTCCATAGTTATCCGATCCCTAACTGGAGCTCAAAAACAGCAAACTGGTTTCAGACCTAGATGAGAGTGTACTGGTCAGATTTCAATTCTTTGCTAACTCCTGGGACACAGACATACCTACCTGCCATTGGCTGACACATGCTATATTTATTGAACAAAGGCGGTATTTGACTCAGTCGACGGCGGTGTTATGGCATTGTCTGGCTGTGAAGGGAGTACAAAGAAAGTATTAAAGTTAACCCGAACTCTCTCCTTGAACTCATGCAGCCATGTTAAGGCTTGTGGAGAGTTATCATGTCAATTGACGACAACTAGTGGTGTGCACCACGCATCCCCACTGTCACCGTTCCTATTTAACTTCATCACAGGCGCACTAATCGATATAAATTTAGGTACGGATGACTACACACGAATTGACCCACTCCCCACAAATCATCTGGTCGACTTGGAGCATATAGACAACATTCTCCTGATAGGTGAAGACACTGACTAAAAGCAGGGCCTTCTGAACCCGTTAAACAGAAATCTAAATAAGTTTGGCATGCGTTTCGTACCACCAAAATATAAGGTAATGCTCCACGACTGTTGTGCTGCAAGTCCCCCTAGTTTAATGATTGAAAGTGAAATGGCAGAATGTGTCGACCACTTCACTTACTTGGGAATTCGCATAAGCCTAAACGGGTTGCTCGCTGATGAAATCGCAGCTCGGATACAGAAAGCCCGTTTGGCACTCACCAACTTACGTCACTTGTGGCGATAACTAGCGAGATATTCGACCATCTATCAAAGGGCAACCATACTGCGCTGCATTCCGTTCTGTCCTGTTATACGGCTGTGAGATATGGCTGCTGAAAGCAGAGGATATGAGGCAATTAAAAGGCTATGATCACAGATGTCTTCGTAGCATTGCATTGCTCGTGTTTCGTGGAATCACCGTGTAAGTAATGTCGAAATCAGATGAAGAGTACTAAGCAAAACAGACCGGCAAGTCAATTCACGAAGTTGAGAACCTTAGTCGACTGAAATGGCTTGGACATTACATTCAACTGCACATGTCGGGTCACCGCCTATCTCGAAGCGCCATGCTAGGTGACGTTGAATTAGGTTGGAAGAGGGTTTAAGGTGGCCAAACCAAGATGTGGCATGAATTTTGCAACTGTTAGTTTGAGCTGTGTGAGGAGATGTGGACTGCCTGGTTGAGGTTTCCGGGACGATGTGAGTCAGTGGTTTAGAAGTCTTGGTGGCATGACTGAAAATCGGTAACAATGGGCCAGATATATTCACTTCTTGACATCTTCCAAAGCGCGAACATTTGCACCAATCTTTAGATTGTTTATTCTGTCATGCTAATTTATCTTCTTTCATATTACTCGTTTTCTATCCCTGTTCTTTGTGTACTACTGGGGAATGTGGCAACCTGAGTCGATGTACCTGTGTGCGAGGTTCTAAGTTGATTTTATCAGTCAGTCAATCACAGTTATTGGAAGGGCTGGAAATTCAAACTTTCTTTTACTAAAATATCGTAGACTCACCCAGTTCTTGCTACGTTGAAGGCATAAAAAAGAACCTAGAAATAATCTTAGAGCTGAAAGAAACCGTCTCGGGAATTCAGGTGATATATATATATATATATATATATATATATATATATATATATATAAAGTGTTCCGAAATAGTATGATAAAATCACTGAATGTTTTGCGCGACAGTACATTTGACTCAAATACAACCAATTAAGACAACTATCCTGAATTGCAAACAGTCTACAATATCGCTGAACCGATCTAACTAGATCAATAATCACCACTGACACAACCTTGCTGTTTAGTTAATTTGAGAAGTAAGTTTGAGAACTAAAAATAATAGTAGAAAACCCGCTGACCAGAGATTCGCTATTTAGTGACAAAGCATGATGCTTGATTAGGGGTCAAATTTATCGAGCAGATAGACTTGTCTGTCTTACCAGCAATGCATGATACGTTGTAGCTGAGTAATACTGAAAGTCGTCTGGTAATAAGTCACAAACTAAAGACGAATCCCTTTGCTCTGGTATCAGCTTCCGATTAATATATCGCACATGGAGCTTTGGCTTGCTGATTTTCGCAATGAACTTCAGACTAGTGACTAACGCATCTGCTCCACTTTCCACCTCAACCTAGTGATGTCTGAGCAGGCAGATCGTACGATTATCAACCACGCAAAAGGCATTGGTAAGGGGTTAGTAGGCGAGTGTGCAGTGGTGTAGATGCGTCATTATCTGCTGTCACTTCACAATATGTTCACTTCAGTTTGGCACAAAAAACTGAGCATGCATGTAATACACGACACACAATCAGGCGACTGTCAGTTAAATGTCACCGAAAACAAGATAGATACTTACTTGTGCAGCACCTGAATAAGTGTTTCTTAACCGAATAGATGAAGTTATATCCCAACGCTCCCAAATATTCCGAATACGAATTCCAGCTTGAGATGCAAACTTTACTAATGCCTCCAGACTATAAATTTTTGACCGAGAGCTCCATACATCAACATCATTTTCATCGATGAATTGATTGTGAAACTTCTCCAATAAGTCAGTCAGGCAGTTGGTTTTTTGAAGAAAATTCCTAGATGTATGATCATCTTCAGCGCTAACCATAGCGTCCAGAAGTCGTGACGTAGCGTACATTCTGAGTAAAATGTCTTTGTAGTGCTCATTTGAAGGGTCATCGACATACATGCAAATCATTTTATTCAAAATAGGAGCTATATAAGAAACGATATCATAAGCACATTTATCATGCCTTCCCTCTCTATAAAGAATGAAAAAGGTTAACGCGTTTACGGTTGACTCATGTGGAAATATCACACGTTCCATAAGTTCAAGAAGAAATTTAAGCTGCCAGCTAATGAATTCTGACCAGTAAGTGGCAAACAACTGTGACTTATTCGGAGAAAATCTTCTGAGCATTTCACACTGGAATCCGATAAGCCATATGTCTAAAGCACATCGGTGTGTAGTCATTTCTGTCCAAGCCAGCCATGCGGTCAAACGTCGTAATACCACAAAGCAGGACTCAATAGTACTGATGCGACATTGACTGAGTTGATCAATGAATCTACAGACACTTTCTGTCAACAGTGCGTTGTTAGAGCAGAAGTGCTGCAGTTCAGACAGAATGCAGGCAACGGGAATATGATGATGATCACTATTAGTATCAACAAGAATATCCTGCACTAATGAATTGATGTGCTCTGTAAGTACACATGAATTTAAAGAAGAACTGTTGGAAAGTCTTGGTTGTGTTACAAATACAATTAATGAGCGTGATAAAGACTGGGCAAGTTCAACTTCCAAGGAATTACAGTGGAGATTTTCCAAAAATACTTGAGAACATAGAGTAAGTAACATCTGGAACATATTGGACAAAAGATCTATATACATTTTATCACAGAGATCATAAGCAGCTGCCTTTTGACTTGATATGTTATCAAGAGCATACTGAATATTTAGACACAACTGTTTGTCATTCTCCAGAAGTCTGCATTTTAAAACAGAATAAAGCCCCGAATTCAATGGAAGAAGGTTTCCTGGTTCTTTCACAGTTGATCTCAGGCAAATTAAGACATGACGCCTTAGAAGTTTCTTCACATAAACTAACAATAATTTCGGAAATGAAGGGTCTAAAAATCGGTCGAAGGAATCAATAATCTTCTGAGAGAGGTATAATACGGCGATATCCGAAAGATGGGTTTCAATGCAGGCAAGAAGCCCATTAATCTCAATAAAAAAAGACTCCGAGTAGTTGGCTTTTTCATGAAGGCACTCAAAACAGAACAATACAGCATCTTTAAAGAAGTCTGTGTCGTCCAGTTTATTAACATATTCCCTTAGCTTCCTGAAGAGCAAAACTTTTGTGCTCTCATTATGATCACAAATAAGTACACCAATCAGTATCTTATCCATGATTACCACAGACAAATCCCACGCACCGATGCCAGGACAATAAATCCATTAACTGCTGCAACGCCAAGGTTCGAAGCGGTTTCGAATACAATCCAATGTATCCAATATCCAATGTCTTTTTAACGAGCTTGTGTAAACCAGCTGATTTCTTCTTGCTTGCTTCTTGGCCTTGTGGAACGGTTCCAGTTCTTTGGCGGATTCCGATGCAGCAGATCCAGCCACTCATCTGCCATAGCTCTGATTTACGGAACAGGAAGTTTTGTCGGTTTGTTTGCCTTGGACTGTGGTGCAGTTGGCTTCTTCAGATGTCGAGTTGCCAGACGGTTGTTCGGACTGGCCACTAGAGAGGGTTAGGGGCAGTGAACAGAAAACCTAGAAAACGTTTGTGTGAGTAAAAGTGGAAAAGAAAAGTGAACTAGTGGAGTAATCTACTTACACCCAAGGAAGGTGAGGAGGGATGCAAAGGTGTGAAAAAAAATTAGGTAATTGAGGCTAACTCATGGTAAATGGAAGAGATGAAAAGTGATTAAATGGCTACAACAGAAGGAAAACTGGTTGTAAAGTTAAAATAGTTGGGGTGGCTTAACATCAGTTCGTGTCCCAGCTATATGTGGGTAGACCGTGGGTCTCTGAATGACTGTCTAGGCTTTCAATAGTTGGGGCGGAGACCACCTTGGCTGGTAGTGAGTTCCAGTACACGCAGACTAGGAGGGAGAAGAACAGTGAGCGCACATGAGTTTTTAACCTTTGGTGGGCTATCCTCTTAGGGTTTCCTCGAAGATCTCCATAGTGGCCACCTGGTAGTATTCCTCTGTTCGGGTGACTTGGGTTATACAGTATTTTGTAGGCCATAATCAAGTCACCTAGTAACCTCCGATAGCCAGGAGAGCATGGGTCTAGGTCTTTCAGTCTATTCTCATGTGGTTTTCGTTGCATCCAATATCCAACATCTTTTTACGAGCTAGTGTAAACCAATTGGTTTCTTCGCGCTCGCTTCTAGGTGTTGTGAAACGTTTCCATGTCTTTGGTGGATTCCGATGCAGTAGGTCTACGCAACTGACTGCCGTAGCTCTAGTTAGCTCGGTGGGCGGTTGGGTGTTGACTCAATTTGTAGGGATTGTGTGGTTTTGCCAGAGATTGTGGTGCCGATGGGATCCTCAAGTGTCGTTCCACCAGACAGCTGGTCAGAGTGGTTGTAAAAAGAACACCGTAGAGATGTCCGGGGAAGTCAAGGGAGGGAAAGTGAGGTGGAAAATAAACAATAGAAAAAAGGTTTAGGAAAAGGGAACGATACGGAACAGGAAACATCGTCAGATTCCTGGGAGAGGGGTGGTGGAGAAAGCTTTCATTAGAGTGTGAGAACGTAAAGCCAGTGGGAAGAGAAGGAGAAAATAGCATTAAAGGAGGGCTTGTGGGAATAGAGATGGTAATTCTATTAGTAGGAGACGGTAACTGAAGGGGACGTCCATAGGAAAGTATAAGGTTAGGCCAATTCAGCAGTAAGGGTGGTGTGGCAACGTATTCGACAATGGGCTGGCCGTACGGAGTTAGTAGGTCGTGTCAGTCTAGTCCATATCCCAGCTGGATGAGCGCAGGCCGTGCGTCACTGAATACCTGTACAACCTCTTCTTGAAGCTGTCAACAGATGGAGCAGTAGCAGTCTCAGCAGGTTATGGGTCCCAGTGGCCGCAAACTCGCAGAGGGAAGTCTGGACGCACACGGGTTTTTGCCCTTTGTTGGGCGATTCTCCCTGGGCTACCACGAGCTGCATTCTGGTGCCAGGAAAGTTCACTACATCGTCATCAGTTGACTTGTTCAGGGAATGACTGAGCATGCGAGCGATCTACTGGTAGAGAGTCTTCGATCTTAAAGCCTTCTGTCCTTAAACAAAAGGTCTGCGATCTAATACTCTTAGCAACTGAGTTCACAATAAACTCAATCTATGGATTGTAATTACAAGCCCAATACGACACTGATCTAACCGCTGATAAAATCAAGAAAGCCAAAGAGCTTCCGATCACAACAAAAAGAAAACCGAACACCAATCTGCAATCAGAAGGAGCTGAGAGAGATTAAAACTACCAGTTTGCTGCACTCGTAATCTTAATGTTTTATGCTGGGGTAGCGGCTAAGGTTAAATGACTACCATATCTACCGAAAACGTGGAAGTGAGCGAAAAGGAGTGATTGTAAAAACTAGAATGCTATGTTTCAAAAATATTTAGTATGTCGAGCTTGCCAACAGTCCAGCGGGAATCCCACTCTCATACCCCATCACAGGGCAAAGGGGTGAGTGAGATCTAACCTCTACTCCCATGAAGTATGCGCCTTATGGACCATTCTGCCGAAGTAGCCACAACTACATCAGTCGGCTCCTCCAAACGACTGATGGAAGAATATTTGAGCGCAAATGGCTTACCGCTAACATTTGTCAGTAGCAACTGCTGATATGCCCCTCCATCCCTGTATTCCCTAACCCTAGTATCCGCAACAAGATGCATTTCTCTCCCATATTGTTACCAGCGGCAATCATCTTTCCGTGAGTGCTTTTCACTCCTCTTTTTCTCATTCCCCACTCACCTTATTTCTAGTACTTTTTAAGTAACGCTGATACTTACTTGCAGGTGCCTACAAAAACAGGAATTGCGAACGGTCAACCGAACTTAGCAGCAGCTCCGTTGCCCGCCAAAACAAACCAAGTTACAATCTGTAAATAAAATACATCGACGCCTTGACGCGCTTTTTGAAGGTAAGTGTAATCTTATCGTGATTTAGCAATTTAGCTTTTGTTGTGTATAGTGCAACGATAGCTCCGGTTTTCAGTGACGGTATTCTCTTGAGCTTTGAGTTCGATAAGTTTGCCTTTCTTTACGCGTATTCTTGTTCATACTAGGATAACAAGGCTTTACTTCTGTCCCAGTTTTGGTTTGATCTGATAACGTTAAGGTTACTACTCTTTTTCAAGCGTCTCCAGAGCTTATATTTTTAATTTTTTTATATATACCCCTTTTATACTTTCGACGAAAATGGTGGCCAAGCAGATGTGCAAGAGGCAGAGCCGTCGATAACCTGTTCAGGTGGGCATGCAATGTGACACATGCGACGGATAGTTCCATTGCGCTTGCGCTGACCCAACACAAACCGAGTACACCAAACTCAGTAAGCCTGGTAGCAAGTGGCATTGCGGCTTGTGTTGATCTGCACTAGACAGTGTTCTTGGGAACATCACTGGCATGTTATCGGAATCAAAAAACAAACTGAGAGTAGACCATAAAAAGGAGAAGCTGGAAAACTCAAAAGCAGTGCCTAGGCACAAGGGTTATGGAATTAGAAAATTGACTAGCGGAAAAAGTGCTCAAGCCACTCGACAAGAGCAAAGGTCTGGTTTGACGGAGGATATGCTGCACCTCAGTAGTGCAATAACATCAGCCGTCCTACAATCCTTCACTCGGATTTTGTCATCAACAGATGAGGTGCAAAACGAAACGGTCATACCAAACAAGGATGCTCGAGATGGAGAATAGGTGACCATTCTACAAAATGAAAACGGTTGAGTTTAAACTCCAGTCAAACTCATCGGGTCTGGGAGGGTGAGAAACAAAGGGAGCAAACCCAAGTGGGGTAATCTGGAAATCGGGAAGGCTAAACATGGGTCCGCAGGGAAGTGGAATGGACAGCAGACTACGCGAGTCACCAACCAGCTTGTCAAACAAGCAAGCGTGTTGCCCACGAACGAGAGCAAAGCTGGAGAAAAGATGAAAGCCCAATAAGAAACGATCGAACGTCAACAGTTGACAAGACATACCACTGTCTGGAATGATTCTTAGTGGTGTTGCCCAAGGTTCAGTACTAGGGCCTCTCCTTTTTCTATTATACATAAACTACTTGCCTCAACAGGTCTCTTCCGAAATCTTTTTGTCGACGACATGAAACTCTGGAGAGAAATCAAAAGCGAAGACGACAGTGTTTCTCTACAGGAAGACTTGACCCGACTCCACAGTTGGGCGGTTGACAACGGGCATGCACTTTATCCTGAGAAATACAAAGTAATACATGCAAAATATGACGTATTTCGTGTATATAGCCTCAACAGCATGGGACTTGAAGCGTCACTGACGGAGAAGGATTTGGGAGTGTTGTCCCCCCAGGGCTTAAAATCCTGTGCCAACTGTGACAGAAACGCATTTCGTGGGAACCTGGAGTTAGTAACTCTCAGACGAATTTTCGGACAATTCAATCGTGGATGCTTCCATCAAATTTTCAACAGCTTCACACGGCCTCGCCTGGAGTTCGGGACCGTCGTCTTTCCTCCTTATCTCCAGATGGATAAACTAAGCTCAGGACGCATCCAGAGGAGTTCAACAAAACTTGTTCAAGGACTTAGGTCCGAAACACACGAAGGACGACTGGTTGCGCTGGATCTGTAACCTCTGGAATACAGAAGACTAAGCGGAGACTTGATAGTGACTCACAACATTCTGAGCACGCCTGACCGCCCACTCCGTCACTTATTAAATCTTATCTGCAGTGCTAATCTTAGAGGATAAGCACAGAAACTAGGCATCGAACAAGCAGGCTGGATGTAAGGCACAACTTCTATTCCCTAAGAGTTGGTAAACCCTGGAACGCTCTTTCTGAGGGTTTGCTACAGGCTACTTCGTCTGAATCTTTCGTACGCCGACTGGATACCCACTTGATGTGTGTCTGGGATCTGCCCAGAACTAAGTGAATTTTCACATTTTAATCGTCACTTTTTCCTCTATCTTTACTTGTGCAACTGGTTAACAACCATAAGGAGTAGTGATCCACGGATTGTAGACGCGGAAGCCAGTCAAGCGAAAACTTCTATCTGTCAACAACCATTTGAATCATTTGAAAAAGACAGTCACTACATCCAGTACTATAAGCCGCAAAACGCAAAGACTTCTGCAACCATAGAAGGAGTACCACCGAACAAAAAGAACCGCGACCAAGGACGTAGAAGCGAGATCTCAGAAACTACTAGTTTCCTCTGCTCGCACTACTGATGTTGGATATTTGAAAGAAAACTATTTATATGCAAACGTTACCTGAAGGTCACTTGCTAGAGTTTTTTTAATAATTACTCGTGGTTCCTTGAAGACTTCGATATTTCAAGTAAGAGAATGCCACTCCTGACTTTAGAAACCGTTTTAATAACAACAGGCCCGAGCATTAGTTTTTTGAAAGATAAGCCAGCGTTCAAAACATAACATACATATGTTGTGTCCATGTTGCTAGCTCATGCTTTATGATGAAAACCAATGTGATAAAATGAGTCCGGAGTTTGGGCTATAATTTTTGATCTTATTTTCAGTGGCTAATGTTAACCAGAATTAAAACGTGATTGAATGTAGGCCTTCTGTGTCGTGAATGATAACTAAGGCATTGATTTATGTAATCTCTGCCCCCTCTAAAACTTGTAGTTGTAAACTTCACCAAAAGAATAATATAACAGCACTGGTCGAACCATATTCGTGCAGAGTAACGATTGGCTCACACAGTACTGTTACGTGACTAAGAAATAGAGCTTGTTGCCGTTAAAAGTAGTAGCAGCTCTTTCAGAAAATACATTCAAGGGAAATGACTAGATAAAGGCGCTGAAAACCATCGGTTTTTCTTCGAAGTTTATGTAAGGTGTTATCAGTTTAATGATTCTATGACTACTACTTTTGGAAATGCTTATGATTTACTTAGCGCTTGTGGTGAAACTATGAGGTTGAATTTCAATAAGAGCGTTAAAAAAACAAAGTGTTCTGTGCAACGACCCTTTGTTAGAACGTTCAGCTTCCCACTTGTTTTCATTTTATCACTATCTAGCCCCTTATGTTTTTATTACTTATCTAGTTTCACATTTTCTTTTCGATTCTTTACGTTCCAGAATAACCTGTCTTACATTCTTGAACCTGCGTAATCCCACAAACTTTTGGTAACGGTTAGTATATTAGAACAAAGCGAGACCTGTATGTTTCGTGCCCAGTGTTTTCATAAAACTTGCTTAAAGTAGTTACGGTATTTAGTTTGGAGAGGAGGTAACTGCTTCTGTTTAACCAAGAAACGTAATATCTCTACTTAACATTCATTCGACCAAACTGCTTCTGTTAAGCACATGAGAGCGAGCTTAATACGCCTTTAACCTATGAGCAACTGGAAACTACCAGATATTCTGTTTAATGTAAACTATTTTCATTTAACACCTCCATTTGAGCATATTTGACAAAATATCTAACCAGTGAATTATTTTAGTGTGATAAGTAGTTATTGTCTGAGCTAATCAACATATTTTGATGTCATTGATGCATTTTTTATTATTTTGTTGAGTACATTGTGCTCATCAGTATTATATTGTTATGGATGCCCACGTGACTCCAAGTATATTCATATGAGCCCAAATATCACGTATTCTTAGCGCTTCAAACGTTCTTAATCCACCAGTGTCAGACAACGTAAAAACAAAAGATGCGGATAAAAGTAGGGAAGAATGTAATCACAATACAATCTTACTCAAAAGTCACTACCGGTAGAGTATCGTTAAATAAGTAAAAATATACATTACCAACATTGCCCTGCTGTCGAATATAGATATGACAACATGTATGCTTTCGAAAATAAAATGGAGGGAAATTGCTTACAAATGAATAATTTCAAGCTATTTGTATGATATCCTGATTAATTAACAAACACGAAAGAATGCCAAGATAATAGTGTTAGTTCATAATGATATGGCTATCTATAATCAACTGTTAACAGAAACAAAAGCTCTGAAAAAAATATGCGGTCAGTGAAAAACAGTCAAACAAAATCGTGAAAATGGATGCAACTAGTTTTGAGAGTATAAAAGAGGAGCAAGTAATAAGTATTCTGTTATGCGTGATACATATTGTTATTAAAGTGTACGCAACGTCAATTGTGAGAGTTTGTATCATAAGTATAACCCCATTAATGACCAAAACACTGATGAAAGAATCTGCATTTTCGAATGAAAATAATAACAAGCAGAGATCCCTGACACGTCTTTCGTGGTGTCGACGCTTGTAAGATAGACAGTATCAGGATAGAGCCTGGAATTACTGCAGAGCGGTTCAAGTTGTCACCCTTTCCACTAAGCGGAAATGCATCACAATGAAATAAAGGAGTACGGAAACGAGCAGTCAAAAATGGTTGTCAAAAGGGAACAATGAGTAACAAGACAGTGCTGAGATTCAGTATCATGATTAAGGTGAGGATAAAGTGTGAATACTTCTGCATTACTAAGGTCAATTCTGAGCCATATCACCTAGAATCTGCAACCATCGGTTTCTGTTGTCACATGGGTCCCACCTGGCTAGTTCGCATTTCCCTGTACTGCTCCGACCAACAGTAAAAGACTTCATGAACTGACGCTATTTTTTAGTCAGGCCACTACTAACCTTTTTCTAGCTTCAACCTACTTCACTTAATATTGTGCGACAAGGCAAATGGTGACTAGGCAAGAGTATCACATGAATGAATTCCTACTGAAACACTTAGACTGTACATAAACTATTAGTATTTTCATGATCTATAATTCAGTCAGTCCTATTGTAATTTAGCTACTAGTTGGTCCTATACACATGTATACTTTTGGGTACCGAATATTCACCATGTGTGAATGGTATCAAAGTACAATACAAGAGTAATGATTGGAGTAAACTTGTTCGAAACAAATTAATTGCAGCATCACAGGAAACGCAGAAACACTGCTGAATGTGTAGAAAAGTTATGCTAACTGGGAGCTGATTAGCATGTTATGTGGAGGGTAATTAGAATCATACAGGTGCATTAGTTTCCGTAAATCTTAGATGAAACCCCCATACGGACCATAATATCTACTGTTAAAAACACTTGGCCTTTAAAAAACCGCGAGTATGTTTGATTCATTTCGCAATTATCAAGTGTAAGGCAATATGGGAAACTCTCTGTCAATAACCTTGCCTAGTTTACTAACCCGGTCCTAAGCTCGGATAAAAAGGAAAGGTTGGACATAGCGCTAGCAACCCTGCCCCATAAAACCAATCCAACCGCTAAATAAACTTCAAAGCACAAAAAAAGTATTAAAAATAGAAATAAACTTATTCCTTGCTGGAATTGAGGAGACGAAATGACGCCGGTTGGTAAAAGCCTCGGGGAAGCCAATTGACCGATGTGTCTTCTCTCGATGAAAGCGAAAGTAAACTTGGAAACATGGAATGTCTGCACCATGTATTAACCTAACAAGGCTGCCCAGATTGCGAAAAAGATGAGAAGATATAGCATAGAAGTGCTAGGAATCTGTAAAAGCAAATGGAATGGAAGTGGACTCTCCAAACTGTTAACTGGAGAGTCAATAATCTACTCCGGTCACCCAGACGAACACCACGAACACACGTAGGAAATGGCTACCATGATGTCCTCAAGAGCACCAAAGGCTCTCATGCAGTGGGAACCAATCCTTTTCAGGATCATGACAGTAAGATTCAAATCAAAAGGAGAGGAAGTTACAATCATACAATGCTATTCTACGCACCTACAAATAATGCAGATCAAGCGAAGAAGGAGGAATTCTACAGACAACTACAATCAGTACTGGACAAGGCCCCAGTTGGTGGCATTAAAATTCTAATGGGTGACAAGAACGCCAAACTGGGAGTGGACAACACAGGAAGAGAACCAATCACGAGTCAAGAGGCACTCGGTGAAATGATAAATGAGAATGGAGAACTGTTTGCAAACTTCTGCGCATCTAACTTGGTGATTGGAGGTACTATGTACAAACACAAGGATATTCACAAGGCAGCGACATGGATTTGATTTCACCAGACACCAGGACACACTAAAAATCAGATCGACTTCATTTCAATCTCAAGAAAGTGGAGACGCATCCTCCTGGAAACAAGATCAATAAGGGGAACAGATATAGGTTCACACCACTCACTGTCTAGTTCAAGGAACCTTCAAAATCAAGTTGAAAGCCTTCAAAGAAGTTGGTGATAGACCATAGTTTGAGTTGAACACCCAGAACAGAAAGTGAAGGACGAAACTACAAAGGACATCTTCATGTCAGCCATCAGAACAAAATGGGAGACATTAAGCAACATCCCTGAAGGAACCTGCTTAAAAGAACACTGGAACTCTGTGAAAGAGAGGTGGAAAGAAACTTGCACAAGCATATTAGGAAGCAAGAGGAAACAAGACAAGGAATGGATCTCGACGGACACATGGAAGCTGGTAGAGGAGGGAGAGGAAGATGGTGAAGCAGAAGATGAACCAGTGCAGTGCAGTGCAGAGGTGAACAACAAAAAGAGGAACTGAATGCAACTTATAAAACACTGGACAAAGAAAGGAAGAAAAGTGCGCACAAAGATAAAAGACACTCCTACGACACACTTGCGAGGGAAATATAACAGGCTGCAGGTAAGAGAAACTTGACAACACTGTATCAAATAACCAGGTTACTATTTAGGAAGAGATCAATGCAGATTAAACCAATGAAAGATAGTGAAGGAAACCTAGTTACCGAAGAGGAAAAACAAAAGAAACGATGGGATGACCACTTCAAAAAAACTCTTGAATCGACCACCACCACCTACAACTCGTCCAGAAATAGCACCACCAGCCGAGTCATGGAACTATCAGTGAACACAATCCCTCCAACAAAAGTAGAAGTCCTGAACACCATAAAGTTGCCCAAGCCAAGAAAGCAGCAGAACCAGATGGAATTCCTCCAGAAGCACTAAAAACAGACGTGGAGACAACAGGGGACATGTTCACACCACTATTGCAGAAGGCTTGTAAGGAAGGAAAGGTAGCTGTTTATTAAAAGAAGGGCTACCTTGTGAAACTTTTAAAGAAGGGAGACCTAAGTATTTGGAAGAACTGGCGCGGAATCATGTTCCTGTCCACTCCAAGCAAAATATTAAATCGCATCATCCTGGAGAGACTAACAAATGCTCTGGATTCAAAACTACGACCGGAACAGGCTAGCTTCAGAAGAATAAATCATGTGCGGATCGAATTGCAACGCTACGCTAGGCATCATCATAGGACAGGAATGGCAGTCAACTCTCTACCTCAACTTCATCAACTTTGAAAAGGCCTTCGATAGCGTCGACCGAGAAGTAATTTGTTAGGCATCTGCTTCAATACTACGCTTTTAGTACCTCAAACCTTTATCAACCTTATTTAACAGCTATATGCTATATGATGCTACGTGCCGAGTGATTCACAATGAAAAGCTCTGTGATGTCTTTGAAGGGAAGATAGAAGTAAGACAAGGTTGCCTACTATCACCGATGATCTTCCTGATTGTGGCCAACTGGATCATGCAAGAAACTGTGAGAAGCGAGAAGATGGGCATACGCCGTTTGACCGATGATAAGACCCCAGAAGAAGATTTGGATTTCGCTGATGATGATTTATGTCTAATGTCGCACAAACTCGAAGATTTTCAAGCGAAAACTGTAAAGTTGACAGAGGAGGCGAGGCAGCAAAGACGGGACTTCAGGTGAACGTAAAGAAGTCAGAGGTGAAGATACCCAACCAACAACAATAACAAACACCAATCACCATCAACGGGATAAATCTCAAGGAGGTTGTCTCTTTCATCTATCTGGGCAGCATCGTTTCAACTACAGTCGGCGACACAGATTAGGACGTCGAAGCCAGAATCGGAAACACAGCAAGACAGGCCTTCATTAACCTGAAGTCAGTGTGGAGATACACAACACTCAACATAGAGCGTGAACAGGATCCAGATTTTTAACACTAATTCAGTCAAGTCAATGCTTCTATGGTTCAGCGACTTGGCGCGTTACGAAAAGCATTTCCAACAAACTGCAGATATACATCAACAGCTGTCGCCTACGCTCACTCGATAGTGAAGATCAGATGTTCATAAAGAATAGGCAACAAGAAACTCTGGCTGGCAACGAAGCAAAAACCTATCGCCCAAAAATATGCAGAAGAAAGTGGAGATGGATCGGATTGCACATGCACTGAGAAGGCCATTTGGGGACATCACGCGCCAGGCCAGGCCGTCGAGTGGAAGCCAAATAGGACACGACAAGTTGGGCGTCCGAGGCGAGGGTGACATAGAGGAGATCGTATGAGGAAGAAACGAAAGCTTCTGGGGAGCCTTGAAGCCTTATGTTCCACTAGGGAATCCAAAGGACAAATAATAATGATAAATAATCTCTATCAAGCCTTAATTTTGAAATAAGTAATGAAGTCCATCTAACACTGTGGGCTGTTTGTTGACGGAATCCAAAAATGAATCCGAAAGATCTGTATACCGTTCGCCAACTTATCCTGTCATTCGTTCCGCGAACATATTCAATTATCAACCAACTAGTTCTTGCTGCATAGCAGTCCACACCACCCTACTGTGCGGTTGAGATGTGGTAGTTCAAGATTGAAGATATGAGAATGACACAGGTTTATAACTATAGGGGGTTTCATCGCATTGATTGCAGCTGGTTGGTGTTGGCTTAGTGTGTTAGGGTAAGAAATAAGCCAATGAGTGGGTTTGTGAATTCGTATTGTCTGAGAGGACTTCGAAAAGAAACTCGAAGTTCACTCAGCAATGAACCTTTATCTGTTGTATGAGGGTTAATGATACTATCTATCTGCTCAAATCTCGGCAGGTGGAGTGGTGCTCCAACCTAAAACCGTAAACCAACAAGGCACAACACATAAGGTGGCTTGGATATACATTGATCATAGTAACCGGGTACTAAACTTGGAGTGCAATCTTAGCTCAAATGAAAACAAATTACAAGAAAGCCAGTACTGGTCAAATTAAAACAAACTCAAAATCCATGAGGTCTCTTTCAGCTGACTTAAAAATCCGACTTTCAACCAGTTAATAACAAGTTCAAACCCAACTTCACCAACTTAAGTGTGGCCAACCGGTTACTATCATTAGCCTTAACACAATGTTAAATTCGCAACATTATACGTGGGCATGTACTGGGTTTATTTAAGTCGGTTTGACCCGTTTAGACTCTTTGAGTTGTCTGGGAGATAACAAACCCTGATTCGTTAATTATTAAGGTTATAATTGGCGAGTTCAATTTCTTTTTTATTTGTAGCTTTTTCACATTTGTACGTCAAATTGGGTTAAGAACGGCTGTTTGTGTCTTGCTGTGATCGACAATTTCTGCCAGTGTAATGTATCTTTCCTGAAAACCAAGTTCCGTCTACTTACTAGGTTGTTTTATGTAGTTTAATCAGCAGCACCTATGTTCGTTTTACGCTCTCCTTCAGTGGCAGCTTGAACAGATTGTTTTTGTGCGTAGTTTTTCGTTGTTGTCTGCTTTTTCTGAGATAGTTTTTATTATTAAAGTTGATCTTAAGTTCTCCATGTTTTTCTGTGCTCACTTGCCAGTTTTCTCACTGATTAGTTGGAAAGAATAAACGTAAACGATGGTTGTGTGTTTCTTTTCATGTCATATATTAAACGTTGTTAGCTAAAACTCACTTCGTAACATTTGTCCATTGGATATAGAAGTGGCTGAGAGGTTTTTAAAGTCGTTGAGTGGCAATTTTTCTTTTTGCTTTGGACTATGAACTTTCAGCTTCCTTGAATAATGATAAGGTTTTTTCAGCTACATTTCATCAAAAGCTTTATTTAAGTTGTATGGATTACCTCAATAGGATCAGCAAGTGGTTTGAAACCACTGAATGAAGCTCAGTAATGACAATGATGAAGTACAAGTGTTCACTCCTTATTTTTATCTAAATCATTGATATTGTTTTTTTCCATACATGTTTTCCTCCTGAAAATTCACGTCTATATTATTTGTTTAGTTGGTCCCATTATACAGCATTTTACCTTATGTGGAATTAAAGTTCTTGCCAGAGCTTCTACCTTGTGTCCGTTTGCCTTCCGTCCCCGATTGCTTAATAACCTAGAAGGTGGTAAAAGTGATAAGAGAAGTAAATAATTTAACATGGTGTAAATTGGTTTCCAATGTGAAGTAGCACGATGAAAAGTCTACTTAACAAATGAAGAGAATGGGAAGAATGGAGCAAGGATCTTGATCAAAGTGATAGTAATGAAATGATTACTAATGATGTATTTGATAAAGTATGAGTAAAGGTGACTAAACTAAAACAAAGCCAAAAACTGTACATAATTCTTCTGCATACAAGGATCAGGTATGAAATAGTGAATTTCCAGTGTCTTCACTACGAAAAGATTGTTGGGTCGGACACACAACTAAGGTACCAGTAGTATTAAGCACGTTAGATAGGAAAAGGGCTATTAAAACCTGAGTACAATGTTCACCAACAATAAGGCTAAATCTAACGAAGACCGAGATGTTAGCTTCAAAAAAGAACCTTCAGAGAACTGCATTTTTTTAACCAGATAATTATAGTAGGGGTAGATACTTCCTTTTTTCTATACTGTAACCGTTAGTGTAACTCAAAATAGAAATTCATTGCTTATATTTGACAAAGTTTACCAGTTATCGAAGTTTATATTCATTGGTTGCTGAAGTACTTACTACATGATGCTGCTGCGTATCAGGTTAAAGGAAAAGAACTGCCTAATTCCTGTTTGTTTCTTGATGATTTCAGTAATATAGTTGGTTTTCTCATCAAGTCGCTTTCGCAAATTTGCATGTATGCAATTGTTGAGAAACCTTAACACTTCCAGTGCTAATCTATGAAATACAGAGGGACTTCTAAAAATAGTTTCATGAGATAAACTTAACTAGTTACTTTATTATTTAGCATAATAGTTGACTAAATTGTTTTGCAAATTTTCCAGAGCAAAATGCCTAAGAAGAAAACTGGACAAAGGAAGAAAGCAGAAAAAGCCAAAGTAAGACAGAAATTACTTCGGAAACAAAGACTAGAAATCGATCTTATCAATCATCCCTCTAACATATTAATGGTATGTGCTTATGGTTTTCTCATGTAACAGAATATAGGAATGTGGTCAGTGTGGTAAGCGCCAGAAGAACAGGGCGTTTTGCTACTTTTGCAAGGCTGTGCAAAGACTTCCAGTATGTTGTCATTGTGGCAAACAAAAGTGTTCTGGTCGTTCAGGAGATTGCCTTGTGAAACATGGTTCTACACATGCTACTGGACTAGCTATGGTAGTAAGTCTTATTGTGTTAGTTCATCTTCGGCTTTGTATAAATCCTGCTTATAAGTAACACAAACAATTTTAGATAACCTTACAATACCAGAATAGTTTCACTTAATATCGTTTCCTAAGTCTGTGTACTTGTGCTTCCAATTAAGGATGATTTTAAGTAAATAAGGGTTTTACTGTTTTTCAAAGATTTAGCTTCAGTTTACTGAGTATGACATGGTGGCCAAGTAATTGTCCTCTCACTACACTGTAATTTCTAAGTCTAGATAGATGGGAATAACTTCTATCACAATCCAATGAATAATAACATCAGAACAATCAAAAAAGTTTAGATACCGACGTTAACAGAAAACTGGGTAAATATAAGTGATGTTCTTTATTTATAACCAAATAATTAACAAATGAATGACCATCGTAATAACCTATTCTGAAACCATATTACCAAATTCTACAGTCATGAACTTCGAACCGTCACTAATTTTCAATTTGACAGTTTCAGGCTAGTAAAAGTCAATTAAAGTTTTACCACGAAGAATGCTTTGTTGATTCATTTAAAAACAAAATTCTTCAGCATGTTTGATACGCCCTTCATATTTCTAGGAATAAAACAGTTGAGGTAACCGTTTTCAACAAGCATGATCTTTATTTCCGTAAGAATTATGTATAGTCACCATTTTTTTTACCTTAACGGCAACATTTCCTGCAGTTTTCCCTACTTAGATAAATTAATTTTCATAACCTTCGTTTATCACTGTTATTAATTTCATTATCATCGTAGCTCTGGATAGTGTTAAGTGTTATTTCCTCTAATCATCTTAATCTCTTAATAATAATAATAATTATTATTATTAGTCCCTTGGGTTCCTAATGGAACATAGGGCTTCAGTAGCACGTCTCCAGTGAACTCTGTTCTCTGAAATCTTTTCAACCTGGCTCCACGACAGCCCACAAGCTCTCATTTCCTCCTCGCACGATCTCCTCCATGTCACCCTCGGATGTCCAACTCGTCGCTTCCCGTGGGGATTCCACTCGAAGACCTGACGCTTGATGTCTCCAGTCGGCCTTCTCAGTGTATGCAATCCATCTCCACTTCCTTCTGCATATTTGTTGAGTGATAGGTTCTTGGTTGGTTCGTTCCCAGAGCTCCTTGTTGCTTATTCTTTCTGGCCATCTGATCTTCAGTAACGAGCGTAGGTGGCAGTTGTTGAAGAATGTCTGTAGTTTATTGGAAATCCCTTCCGTAACGCGCTAAGTCTCTGAGCCATACAGAAGCACTGACTTGACGTTGGTGTTGAAAATCCGGATCTTGTTCCACATGCTGAGTGCAGAAGATCTCCACACTGGTTTCAGGCTAATGAACGCCTGTCTTGCTTTTCCGATCCTGGCTGACTTTGACATCCTCTTCTGTGCCTGTGGCGCCTGTAGTTGAAACAGTGCTTCCTAGATAGGTGAAGGAGGTTACTTGCTTTAAGTTTCTTCCGTTGATGGTGATTGGAGTTTGTTGTTGTCGGTGCGGTATATTCATCACCTCTGTCTTCTCTATATTCACCTGAAGTCCCGTCTTCGCTGGATCTGATGCCAACTTGTTAGTTTTCGCCTGTAGATCTTCAAGTTTGTGTGACATCAGACACAAGTCATCACTGGCGAAATCCAGATCTTCTAGGTTCTCTTCCGCGGTCCAGCCAGCGTATCCCCTCTTCTCGCTCCCCACTGTTTGCTGCATGATCCAGTCCAGTCGACCACAATCAGGAATATCATGGGGGATAGTAGGCAACCTTATTTCACTCCTTTCTTCACTTCACCCGAAAGGCATCTTTGAGCTTCACATTGCGAATTAAATCTTCTAATAAACGTTATTATTACACAAAGTGATACCCAATAAATCGTACAACAAATACTTCGGCGAAGGAAATTCTTTCCAACGAATTTAATTTCAAAAAGCTGTACAATCGTATATATAACAAAACGTTTTCTCATTCTCTAGTCATTGTTTTTGAAAAAACGTCACAACGATAGTGAGTTGCGTTTAGAAATCGACACGTGCTTTCCTCAGTAGAGCAAAAGATTTTGCAAAATACTTAGAAATAAATGGGAACACATGGAAGATATTTGTGAATCTAGCGTTATTCTAACGAGACAGGTTTAAACTAAGTTCGTGGTATATGAGTGATAATCAAGTAAAGCATAATAATAATATAAAAATAATAAATTGAAAAGAAAATAAAGCCGGAAACATAGGAGACAATTTGACGTGAGAATAATGAGTGTTCAGGACATTCAGATGCCTAGTTAGTTGACCATGTTTTGAGCATGGCAAAGTAAGAAAATCAACAAATTTTCTTTATATGCATAGCTGTGGTTTCAAATTATGATTTACCAAGGCTTCTGCAGTATACAATTGATGGAGACGTTCGTTCAGACATATGATTCACCTCATTCGAGAACATCTCCCAGTATTGCTTAATGAAGGGTGATGATAATCAAGCACCTCCTCAGTTGGTAACATGTGGTCGATACACAAAATACATTTCCGAATACCTCACTTCATATTATTTACAAAATCCAACTGAACCTTCTCAAGCGTTTGCGTCTCCAATTACTATATATTGGAAAAGTCTTGCTAATTCATAATTTGAAGCCAGAATTTGAAGCCAGCCGGTCCAAATCACAGCAATATTACAAAAATCCTGACAAGTTTCAGACCTCGACGAGAGTACTTCGATCAGATTTTCACCTTTCAGCAAGTCCCGGAACATAGGCATATTGACTGGCGGCCGACACGCCATAATTCTTAATCTGAAGGCGGTATTTGACTCCGTCGACCAACAGGTATTGTGGCAATGTGTGACTGTGAAGGCAGTGTCAAGGGACTCACGCAACCGTGTCAAAACTCATCGAGAGATGTCACCTGGATAGACAACAGTCAGATTTCCACCAGTAATGCATCTGGTACAGACTCTGATACAGACTCATTAGTGCATATAATCTCAGTTGTGTTTAACTTCATACAAATTGAGCTACTGCGTAGAAGGCATCTGGGTAACTTGGAGTAGGCAAATGACATTATCCTGTTAGGTGAAGACCCTAACAGAATACAGGGTCTTCTGAATGCTGTGAGCAGAAATCTGAGTATGCTTAGCATGCATTTCACACGTGTTGTCAAATGTGGGATGATGCCTCACGAATGGTCTGCAGCTACTCACAGTCTAAGCATAGGAAGTGAAGTGATAAAATGTGTCGACCACTTCACTTACTTGAGGAGTTGGATCAGCCCGAACGGGCCGATTGCTGACGAAATCCCAGCTCAGATACGTGAGGCCTGTTTCACATTTGTAAATTTGCACCATCCGTGGTGCCGACTGCCGAGATATCCGACTACGTGTTAGAGGACGAGTATACTGCACTATTGTTGTACGGATGTGAAACATGGCTGTTGAAAGTATATATGAAGGTATTATGCGTTTTCGAACACAGGTGTCTTCGTAGCATTGCTCGCGTGTGGCGGGATTATCGTGTGAGTAATATGGAGGTTAGGTGAAGGGCACTAGGCAAGTGGGTCGATGAGGTTGTGTGCCTTCACCGACCAAGGTGGCTTGGACATGTGTTGCGTATGCCTAGTCGCTGCCCACCTCGACGTGAGATGTTAGTCGAGGTAGGATTAGGTTTGAAGAGTGTTCAGGTGGCCAGAACAAGTTGGTGAAGTCTCTGACTGTTGGTGTGAACCGTGTGGAGAGGTGTAGACTGCTTGGTTGTGTTTCTTGAGGCGACAAGAGTCAGTGGTTGCGATCTTCTGTGACATGGCTAAAAATCGGTCAGTGTGTCGTAAATGTATGTATTCTTTGACGTTTTACATTGCTTGAAGATTTTCGCTGACCTTCAATATTTGAAATTCTGTATCCTTCCACACCTCTTTATCTACTTTGCTATGAGTCTTGTTCTGTCCACGTGTTCTTTGGATGCTACCATGAAGTGTGTCGACCTAGCCATTTCAGTTCTGTGCAAGGTTCTGCGTTGATTCAGTGTCTCTTTTCGAAATGTACACGTAAACATTTGACTGACATTTGCGTACCATGTAATCACCGTTCTTGTTTGTTGCCCGTTATTTAAGCTTTAACTTTTTTCGTTATGGTATCAGTTTTCACTCCAAATTATGTTACGTTTTTTAATTTTGATTGAATTTTTAAGGGGGCAATTTGTGATTTCTGTGATGCTTGGATATGTCATGGAGAGAAGTGTTTATCTGTTCATGCTTGTGAATGTCCGTTAAGAGATTCCGTGTGCATTGAATGTGAACGTGGACTTGATAGTCATGGTGGTCGAGTATTTTCTTGTGCTTATTGCAATCATAAACTTTGTGAAGATGATCAGTTTGAGCATCAGGTATGTTTATGTGTTTTATAAGAAATGTATATAAATACTTGAGATATTTTTCTACTGTTCGAATCCATAATACGATTGGAACGAGTTTTCTTAAAGTGAACTCCAAGCATTTTGTCTATCGTTAATACCAACCATCATGAGTAAGGATAATCGCTGTAGTCAAGAGTTTTACGAAGATTAATGGTAAGGACATATGTCCAAATGAAATATATTAAGCCATCAAATACATACACAATCATCGTGGTCGGAAAATACTTCCACAATAAGCCAGTGACTGACACTGAACAACAATCTGGACGCTTATCCGTTCCAAGAAGGACGCGATTTTGAAATAAGTGAAGGTAAAAACATTTGTAGAAAGAAATGAGTTCATTAATAGGACCAGATGTATGAATGCCACTAATGTTTACTCAAATGAGGAGGCATCTGTAAGCACTTGGTTTTGTTTGAGATATTGGAAACTATATACCGTGTATACTATTTCCTACATATAAATGAAAAGAATTGATAAAATATGTCTTCACATTGAATCGTTTTACTGTGGTACTATGTTCTACATTAATCTGTCTACATATGTCTACGGTATTGTTGGGAGCCAACTAAACCATAGCCTGTTGAATAGTTTGTGCGTATTAAGTACTAACAAATAACATTCATACATTCCAGTCAAAAATGCCATGTGTGACCTTAAAACGGTATTGTTCTATTGATTTTTGCGTATCACTAAGCGGAACTCACAATCCGTTCATTTGAGTAATGATGATGATAATACTGGTTAAATTAGTTACCACTAAAGCCTAAAATTCGATATCTTTTAGGTTTGTTGAAAAGGTATCATTCTTGTTAAAGGGGAAGGACTCAGGAAGTATTTATTTACCTTACATTCTTATCCTAAGCATAAAGATCCATTTTCTTTCTTCTATAACTACTCCTGCTTTACTACATACTGTTTTTAGTAAGACTTACTAACACACTTGCCTACCTCGAAGCATAACAATGTAACACCCATTTTTTTTTAGTGGATTATAATTTTGACTGATTTGACCCTCATACAGTCACTGTTGAGATGTTAGCTTTCTTAGAGTCGCAGATGATTAGGATTCATATAGCTCCTCTGTCGACCCCGTACAACAGTAACGGATAGCGATATAGTTTATGAATCCATCAGTGGTTTAAGGCCATTTTATATTTCTGAAATGTTTACTGGCTACGAATAGGTGATTATATGAGCAGAGATGTTGAACGCAACCACATTTTTCGATCCGTTGGACAGTGATTCCGCCAGTACCACCTAACTGTTTTTCTTCCTAGCTTAAACTCCTTATTTGTGCATTGAAATGCCTCGCTGTGACGAACACATCCAGACCTATGTATTTCTTTATTTTCAGTCAGTGAGCGTATAATCAGGGACTGCACATACCAGTGTATATCACGGTCCCTTCCAGTCGTTACTGTACGACTTGACCTAACAACAGACGGGTAATTCAACTAGGATAAGGTCGGGAAACGCACTTCCTACCGTAGGATCTATGAAATTTTTTCAAAGATGCGTAACTTTCCGTATATAAAATAGACTAATGATACTGGTACAGTAAATAATTATAATTGAGTTATATTTACTTGCCTCAAAAACATACCTATGGCTCAAAATGCCAGAGTTTTGACTGCTGAGCTCTGTTCGATTTGACATTAAAATCTTAGTTTGAAGCGTAGTTTCAGGAGGCTGAGTATATTGCTTTCTAAGGTTAACAACGATCTAAAGGGAACTGGTGCATGTTTGTTGATACTTTCTGGCTGCTCACATCATGGAAGGTTACTTTTCGGGGGATCCGAAAAAGAGAATTACTCAGGATTGAAGTCTTATCAAATCGGAGATGTAAACTGTAAAGTTGCTTCTAGCCATTTAAATGACTATTTTAGTTGCTAGCGAAGTTTTGTCACAGGAACTATATGCACTGCTGTAAGGGGAACAACTATAATAAGCAGTAAAACTATTTAGACATCTTAAGAGAGGTAAACTGAAAAATTAACGAGTTCTTAACTGATTTACTTTGTTATGTGTACATTGTGTTACAGCCATTGAATTAGGTATTCGACTTTCAATCAGTATTCTGGGTTGCCGCATATACCTCAGCCTAAGCGACTGGGTAGTTTCGTAGACCGTATTCGAAATGTTACTGTTAAATTGTCGATTCAAGATATCTTCTCGAAATTGCGTAAGTGTTGGATTTATGCCTGCTAGTTGTCAGGAGTCATCTACCACTTAACATACGTCGAATTATCTAAGTTGATGCGTTGTCATGATCTGTTACAGGTGATACTGAATAATATCATATGACTTGGAAATTTGACTCGACCTAAATAGTTGAAAATTTTATGGAAAGACAACCTAATTTTATGGATTATGCCGGTAACCGTCACAACTTCAGAGGCATTGATAGATGTTTACTTGTACTCTTATATTTCAGGCCAGTTGTCAATGCTTGGAGGGAGAGAGCTTCAAATGTCCGTCGTGCAACAAAACTGGGACACAGACATGCCTTCGTTGCAAAGTGACTTACTGCGATGATCACTGCAAAAGAAAAGGTGTTAAGTATGAACGCGGAAAACCCATTCCTTGTCCAAAATGTAGCCATGACCTAACAGCCAGTTACAATTTGAGTATGTCAGGTGAGTCTCGTTCGAAATTTCATTGTAAGTGAGGGAGCATGAGGCTTAACTGAAAATGCCCTCTACTTTGTAGTATGGTACAGTTAGGGTATGTTTTTCCTATCATCCGCTTAATATACAGGTTGTGCTTTAATACAGAAGCAATAATGCAGACAGACAGAATCAATGTAGAACGTCAAACAAAAGTTTATCGGTCCAAATAGCCACACTTCACAGTACCATCCAAAGAACAAGTGAACAGAAAAACACTGCTATCAGAGTAGACAAAGGTATGTGTGAGGAGAATGGATTGGAAAATGAATGCCAATGAAGAAGACTTCGAACAACGAGTACATTTATGCCATACTGACCGATTTTTAGCCATGTCACAGAAGATCGCAACCACTGACTCTTGTCGCCTCAAGAAACACAACCAAGCAGTCTACACCTCTCCACACGGTTCACACCAACAGTCAGAGACTTCACCAACTTGTTCTGGCCACCTGAACACTCTTCAAACCTAATCCTACCTCGACTAACATCTCACGTCGAGGTGGGCAGCGACTAGGCATACGCAACACATGTCCAAGCCACCTTGGTCGGTGAAGGCACACAACCTCATCGACCCACTTGCCTAGTGCCCTTCACCTAACCTCCATATTACTCACACGATAATCCCGCCACACGCGAGCAATGCTACGAAGACACCTGTGTTCGAAAACGCATAATACCTTCATATATACTTTCAACAGCCATGTTTCACATCCGTACAACAATAGTGCAGTATACTCGTCCTCTAACACGTAGTCGGATATCTCGGCAGTCGGCACCACGGATGGTGCAAATTTACAAATGTGAAACAGGCCTCACGTATCTGAGCTGGGATTTCGTCAGCAATCGGCCCGTTCGGGCTGATCCAACTCCTCAAGTAAGTGAAGTGGTCGACACATTTTATCACTTCACTTCCTATGCTTAGACTGTGAGTAGCTGCAGACCATTCGTGAGGCATCATCCCACATTTGACAACACGTGTGAAATGCATGCTAAGCATACTCAGATTTCTGCTCACAGCATTCAGAAGACCCTGTATTCTGTTAGGGTCTTCACCTAACAGGATAATGTCATTTGCCTACTCCAAGTTACCCAGATGCCTTCTACGCAGTAGCTCAATTTGTATGAAGTTAAACACAACTGAGATTATATGCACTAATGAGTCTGTATCAGAGTCTGTACCAGATGCATTACTGGTGGAAATCTGACTGTTGTCTATCCAGGTGACATCTCTCGATGAGTTTTGACACGGTTGCGTGAGTCCCTTGACACTGCCTTCACAGTCACACATTGCCACAATACCTGTTGGTCGACGGAGTCAAATACCGCCTTCAGATTAAGAATTATGGCGTGTCGGCCGCCAGTCAATATGCCTATGTTCCGGGACTTGCTGAAAGGTGAAAATCTGATCGAAGTACTCTCGTCGAGGTCTGAAACTTGTCAGTAAAATAAAAACTGATTATGTTAATCTTTTGACATCTGTGAAAACATCGGTGATGTTCAATTACTATTCAGATGTAAGAAAACTTTGAAATTTACCACACAGAGAAATTAGAATTTATCTAATCGTTCGACGAAGTGTTCTTTACGTAGATTAGTGTGAAGCTTATATTCCCTCCGTTGAAATAAATAGATGGACTTTCGTGACTTCTGTGACCGTAACGAGAGGATTGAAAACTATCAGTAACCGGTGTAACTCTCCCTACTAGGTGAAACAGCTCAAAACAGGTAGACGAAACATTATTCTTACGGTGACCTGCAGTCGTCGACAGTTAAACGAGAATGAAAGCAGACAAGTAACCGTATCTTATTTCACTAGAAGGAGCTGCTACACCATTCGCGCAGGAAGCCTGTTGTGACCGAGTGGTGGGGTTGCGCGCGTGGGTATATTGAATACTCGGACTCAATAGATATCTCAGCTGAATACCTTTACGGCTGACCTCCCTCAGTACCTTCTGCTTCACTGAGCCGCGGTAAAATCAGAAGACAAAGACGGCCCGTGACTGCAAGAACAGCGACAACAACTTTTATTCGACAAATACATGACAAAACTCCCAGAAAGTGAAGCTACAAATGAACCAATCAGGTTTCTTGTACGAGGTCGAATTCCTCCACTCAGGTCCTAATGTCAGCGCATGCATAAATCGTGACCTGAACGTGACTTGAAAACTCCCCTATTGGCTGCCTTCTTATCGCTACGTATCAAAGCCTCGACAATTGCACATGGTAATAGAGCCTTCTTTGATAACACAAGTGTAATCTTTGCTGTAAAATTTTCTCGTAAGAAAAACTCAGGACATACTCACCTTGCGAATTAGAATACTGTCCCAACTTACATCCTCACCATTTTCGTTTGTGTGGCTTCCTGAATACTGACAGTTGAATTTTACATTGTATTTATGGTGTCAATATCTACTGATTGAATTCATGGGATATCTCAAGATCAAATGGTTCAAGGTAGTATTCATTACTGAGTGACATCAGTTAGAGAACAATAGAACATCTGGGAGCACTGGACAGCAGTTTCACCCTAGTACAGGACTCACCAGCAGTACGACCCCACCAGGGATCGAACCCAGAACCTTCGGGTTTCACGGCGAACTCGTTAACCATCCAGTCACTGGGTCGCAGTTCAGTGATCCACAGTTTCCTGTTTCTGATAATTCGTGATATAACGTAACTACGATCTAAGGTCTTCAGTTGGGATCCGCTACACCTCCGACTAGTTGACCTCAAGGGTCACGCCTCACTAGAACTTCGATATATCCACCTCGGACCATGTCACTAATGAACACCGTGCAGTAGTGTATTCTGGCGTTAGTAGTTTAAGCTATATTGCATATATTCTAGAGCAACGCGTTATCTAAGTCATGTCAATTGTTTTTAAACATCTCTAGAACAAGTTATCATATAACTCACGTCAGATATTTTTATAACAAAGGAAAAAGATAAGTTAAAACTAAACCAATTTTTCTGATTTATCTAAAAACAACACTTTTTCATATTTTAGTTCGCACTTACGAGTATGGTCGGCAAGCGTATACAGACAACTATTCATCAGACGAAGATGATACTAGTGGAGACGAAGAACAATACTCGGAAACCTCAGAAGACAGTGAATATGCTGATAATAATGATTTTAATTTGGCAAAAAAATTAGTGATTGAAAATAATTAAGTATATTTAGTAAATTAAAGTGTGTTGATTGATAGTTGAATAAGATTAAAATTATTGTAGTTCAGAAGCTGATTTAAGAAATTGCACAATCAATAATGCCTAGGATAATAATGATGATAATCATTATGTGCCGAATGGCTCCACATAATTTCCTGGAAACAATCCGGTTATACCATTCATAATCCCTTCCCACCAACCATCATCGTTCTTCTTGATCACATATATTATTTGGTTTTCTGTAAATGTCAGTTCATCGTCCTTATCGCGCACATACTCATACATTGTGATCACTATGCACATAAAAGAAAATAAGAACAGAATTAGATATAATCGCACAGCATCTCGTCAGTTCCACGTTTGCATGCAACGTGATAATATAACAATGTAAAATTGACACGAAAAGAGCGATAACTAAACATTAAGGTAAGAAATTATCACACAATCATATCTCAAAAGGCAGTGAGATCACAAAATCGGTATACTTGGTATGTGACAAACCACAATCGCAAATTGTATGTTCATAAGCTAAATATCGTCAGTGGTTGTATTGCAACACGTTTCGCAAAGTATTGAAAAGAATTTTCACACCTTTTTCCTTTGATTGTTAAACATAGCATCTAAAATTTGTTTAAAGTAAGACAGTAAACAACCTCGCCTGGTTAACTAGTTCACTAGTTACTAGCCGGTCCTAAGCCCGGGTAAACAGGGAAGGTTGGGCATAGGGCTAGCAACCCTACCCCGTAAAACAAATCTAACCGTTAAAGAAACTTCAAAGCACAAGCGATATATAAAAAATAATGACAAAATTATTCCTCGCTGGAATCGGAGAGGCGAAATGGCACCAGTTGGTGAAAGCCTGCCTTCGGGAAGCCAATTCACCGATCTGTCTACTCTTCTTTCGATGAAAGCGAAAGTAAACGTGGGGACATGGAATGTCCGCACGATGTTTGAACCCAGCAAGGCAGCCCAGACTGCAAAAGAGATGAGAACGTATCACATTGAAGTGCTTGGAATTTGCGAAAGCAGATGGAATGGGAGTGGACTCTCCAAACTGTCATCTGGAGAATCAATAATCTACTCCGGTCACCCAGACGACAACCACGAGCACACTGAGTTGTTGAGTGGCTATCATGATGTCCCCAAGAGCATCGAAGGCCCTCATGTAGTGGGAACCAATCTCCTCATGCAGGATCATGACAACGAGGTTCAACTCAAAAGGAAGAAAGGTCACAATCATACAATGCTACGCACCTACAAATAATGTAGAGCAAGAGAAAAAGGAGGAATTCTACAGACAACTTCAATCAACACTGGACAAGACCTCAGTTGGCGACATCAAAGTTCTAATGGGTGAGGTGACATGAATGCCAAACTGGGAGCAGACAACACAGGAAGAGAACTAACCATGGGTCGAGAAGCGCTTGGTGAGGTGATGAACGAGAATGGAGAATTGTTTGCAGGATTCTATGCATTCAACGACTTGATGATTGGAGTCAGGCAGTGTGTTCAAGCACAAGGATATCCACAAAGCGACATGGATTTCACCAGATGGACACACTAAAAATCAAGTCGACTTTATCTCAATCTCAAGAAAATGGAGACGCAGTCTACTTGACACAAGGTGAAGAAGAGGAGCAGATGTAGGTTCACACCACTCACTATCTAGTGCAAGGAACCTTCCAAATCAAGTTAAAAGCCTTCAATGAAGCTGGTGATAGACAATTCAAGTACAACACTCGGAAACTAATGGATGAAACTATAAAGGAGATCTTCACGGCAGCCATCAAGACAAAATGGGAGATATCGAGGGACATCCCTGAAGAAACCTGTGTGGATGAACACTGGAAGTCTTTGAAAGAGATGTGGAAAGAAACCTGCACAGCCGTATTAGGAAGGAAGAAGAAAGAAGACAGGGAATGGAGCTCGACGGATACCTGGAACCTGATAGAGCAGGGAGAGGAGGATGGTGAAGCAGAAGATAAACCAGTGCAAGGATGCTCAACGACAAGAGGAACTGAGCACAATGTATAAAACACTACACTGGACAAAGAAGTGAAGAAGAGTGCACGGAGAGACAGAAGACAGTTTTACGAAACACTGGCAAGTTAAGCAGAACAGGCTGCAGGTAGGAGAGACCTGACGACATTGTATCAAATAACCAGGTTGCTATCTGGGAAGAGATCAACACAGATGAAACCAATAAAAGATGATGAAGATGATTTAATTACGAAAGAAGAGAAAGAAAGGAAACAATGGGCCGACCACTTCAAGAAGCTCTTGAATCGACCACCACCACCACCTGCACTTCGTCCAGAAATACCACCTGCAGTCCAGCCATAGAACTACAAGTCAACACAAATGCTTCAACAAAAGTGGAAGTGCTGAACGCCATAAAGCTACTGAAATGTAGGAAAGCAGCAGGACCAGATGGGATCCCGCCAGAAGCACTGAGAACAGAAGCAGAGACAACAGCAGACATGCTCACACCACTATTGCTCAAGGTGTGGAAAGAAGAGAAGGTACCTGGCTAGTGATTGGAAGAAGGGTTACTTTGTCAAACTGCCGAAGAAGGGAGACCTCAGTGTTTGCAAGAACTGGCGAGGAATCACTCTCCTGTCCACCCTAAGTAAAATATTAAGCCGCATCATCCTGGAGAGGCTTGAGGATGCACTAGATTCAAAACTACGACCGGAACAGGCTGGCTGGATTCAGGAAGTACAAATCATGTGCGGACCAAATTGCAACGCTTCACATCATCATAGAACAGAGCATAGAATGGCAATCGGCTCTCTATCTCAATTTTATCGACTTTGAGAAGGCCTTTGACAGAGTCGACCGAGAGGTAATTTGGAAACTGCTTCATTACTACGGAGTACCGCAAACCTTTATCCATCTCATTCAACAACTATACGAAGATGCCACATGCCAAGTAATTCACAATGGGAAGCTCAGTGATGCCTATCGGGTGAAGTGAAGACAGGAGTGAAACAAGGTTGCCTACTATCCCCCATGATATTCCTGATTGTGGTCGACTGGACTGGATCATGCAGCAAACAGTGGGGAGCGAGAAGAGGGGATACGCTGGCTGGACCGCGGAAGAGAACCTAGAAGATCTGGATTTCGCCAGTGATGACTTGTGTCTGATGTCACACAAACTTGAAGATCTACAGGCGAAAACTAACAAGTTGGCATCAGATCCAGCGAAGACGGGACTTCAGGTGAATATAGAGAAGACAGAGGTGATGAATATACCGCACCGACAACAACAAACTCCAATCACCATCAACGGAAGAAACTTAAAGCAAGTAACCTCCTTCACCTATCTAGGAAGCACTGTTTCAACTACAGGCGCCACAGGCACAGAAGAGGATGTCAAAGTCAGCCAGGATCGGAAAAGCAAGACAGGCGTTCATTAGCCTGAAACCAGTGTGGAGATCTTCTGCACTCAGCATGTGGAACAAGATCCGGATTTTCAACACCAACGTCAAGTCAGTGCTTCTGTATGGCTCAGAGACTTAGCGCGTTACGGAAGGGATTTCCAATAAACTACAGACATTCTTCAACAACTGCCACCTACGCTCGTTACTGAAGATCAGATGGCCAGAAAGAATAAGCAACAAGGAGCTCTGGGAACGAACCAACCAAGAACCTATCACTCAACAAATATGCAGAAGGAAGATGGATTGCATTGGACATAAACTGAGAAGGCCGACTGGGGACATCAAGCGTCAGGCCTTCGAGTGGAATCCCCATGGGAAGCGACGAGTTGGACGTCCGAGGGTGACATGGAGGAGATCGTGCGAGGAGGAAATGAGAGGTTGTGGTCTGTCGTGGAACCAGGTTGAAAAGATTTCAGAGAACAGAGTTAACTGGAGATGTGCTACTGAAGCCCTATGCTCCATTAGGAACCCAAGGGACTAGTAATAATAAAGACAGTAAACTCTTAATATATCATCGAAAAACGTAATTTGATGGATGTACTTCAGGAAATGATTGAAGTGAAATGAAAATTTAGTCAGTAGTTGGACCACGTAGCTTCAAGAGCATCAAGACGGAAACCTGGTTCGAATCCCGCTGCGGTCCGAATTTTCATTTCACCTTCAATTATCACCCAGTATCAATACTAGTCTGTGAAACCACGGCTATCTCAGATACTCAAAATGATTTATTTGTAAGCGATTTACAAGGGTGTGCATCAGAGTTTCTCAGATATCTGGTGCTCCACCAGTGTTACTAGGTAACTACCGGTAAGTTACTATAAAAAAACATGAATGAAATGACACCAGCATGAGACGATAGAAGTTCTAGCGCAATTCAAAATCCACATAACTTGGCGGAAAAACAATTTAACCAAGTTAATAAAAGAAAAGGAATTCAAGTACCAATCGCGTATAAAGCGAAACAAAGATATCGTTATTACCTTTCTCCATATAGAAATCAGGCGCCCAAGCTGGGTCTTCAGGTTGTCGTGGTATTTGTCGATTATTTTGAATGGTAAGTGAGTCAGCAAAATTCATTTCTTGTTCTTTGGTTTTCCCAGCTTGAGAATCTTGTTCATTTTCGTAACAGAACGCTCCAGGTGGTGGTATTGTTAGGTGTTCATCGCATGGTTCATCCACAGTCTTACCACTGACATTTTGATTCTGTGTTTGAAGATTTTGAACTGCCTGACTAGAAATACTTAAATTGTTTATCTGTACAGAGAATCAAGCAACAAGACAGACGTTTTATACAAAACTATACACAAATTGTTAATATACAGCAAGAAATAGGTTTACAACAAACGGGTGAAAACAAACGAAGGTTCCATCAATAAAGTGACAAACCAGAAATCCAAGTTGCATGCACACACTACACATTTATTCACGACTCTTATTCAGATAGAAGGTGAAGTCGGAGTTCTAAAGTCGCAAGGAAGATACTAAAGGGTGAGGCTATGCAAGCTTCCCAACAGCATAACAAATTTAGAAACTTCGTGTTAAGTTATTCAACGGTATAACCCAAGTATTCAAACTATGACGCGATCATGTTCTGATCGGCAACTAAATCGGTATGCAGTGATGGTATGAAGGTTCACCTTATCAACTGAAAGCTTTAGGCCGATATGAAGTCAAAGCAGATGGCGTCATAGCAAATGTTTACAGCTCACATATTTGTATATTTTTTAAACATCTCAACAAATGTCTGTTTTTTTGCTTCGTTAAACAATCCGAAATCCTGTTGTTGCACTACTGGGCTCATATTTATCTGTTTCAAATAAAGCTAGCTAACTAAACTTGAACTATACTAACACGGGTATTTTAAGCTTGATGGTTCCTTTGAGCTGCACTGTGCACTAATTTAGTGAAAAAACAAGAGTGTCTCTTCCAAATAAGATGATTTTAATAATGTTCAAAGGCTTTTTTTGCATTTGTTGGCTGTAGTCACGGAGAAGCTGATGCTTTACGAGACTTCATTAAAATTATTAACTTTATCAGAAACGCGAAATGTAAATGAAGTTACTCAAGTCACACAGATGTACCAGGGTGACACTTAAGAATCAGAACCCTCCAAAGGACTAGTTTATTGGCGTCACCATTACTGAATACCCAGCATCTAGCAAGTCATTAGAGAAGACGAATTTCTATTACTGCCAAGTGTTGTTATGAAAGAAAAGATATTGCATTTACACTGATATGTAAGGCTAACCTTAGTCTAACTCACACTAAGATAAAGGTATCGGTTGTTTCAAACAATTAGCTAATGATACCTTATAAATTTATTATATCTGGAAGATGGCAGTCTCTATGCATAAAATCCTGGTTTTAACAACCAGTAAAATTATTTACTTTAGGTTGATCAGTAATACTCATACCTTCAGCCACCCAACTGTTGATACACATGTCGCATCTATCTGCTGAAAGCAGATGTTAGAGAAGTTTGATTTTGCGTATCTGGTTACTGAACATGAACAAGCAATACTGAATCCACATAGCGTATAACGTAGCCTAACTTCATTATTCGATTTCAGCACACTAACGAAGACACAGTCATATAGGTAAAAACTGCAACATGAGCGCCATTACTCGATTTCGCAACACATGTGAGGTCTATTAACGGATAAGGGAGGTTACATTCTTATTTCTAAATAGATGGTTGCAGTAGAAAGCTAGTCAAGTATTGGTGATGAACACTACTGTCCGGCAAGATCAGAGTAAAAAGCCACCCACTTTTTCCCTCAACTTCAATAATCAATCCTATTAATCTTAATGTATGCGTTGTTTATGATAAAAAGAATTTCTACTTTTCATGGGATCGTACTCCGAAAAAAATGAGAATAACGAAAACAAGATAAATATAATCTACACAACTAGTTACGAAGACTGTCAACATCAATAAGTTGGTCAATTCAGTCATCGATTAGGTCAAAGAATTTATGAGTATCAACCAGCAATCAAAGACCATGATATATCATCATTTATATTGATGTATGTAGATGAGCACAACTTCGATTGGAACAATGTGGAAATAGTACAACACAAACTCCAGTGCTCCCAAGTTCCCAATGTTCCTCCAACTGATGTCGGTCCATGATGGATACCAACCCTAAAATCGCTAAAAATCCCCACAGACCCCCAAACGAAATTTATCTAGAGCTCACTGGTAACTAACTTTGAGAGGTGATTCCTGAGATTCTAATGCGAAGTGACCGGTGTGGCAAACCTTGGTGGCTGTGAGGGCAATTACTCAACGATGACATTGGGTAGTGGTCGAGCTATGTCTTGAACTGACAGAAGTTGGAAATATAGACCATGGGATCCCGACCCAGTGGCTCCATGGTAACGTGCTGACCATAAGACCTGAAGGTCTTGGGTTCGACCTCTGAAAGAGTCGTGGGTGCGCACTGCTGAGTCCCATACTAGGACGAAACAGCTGTCCAGTGCTCCCAGGTTTCCAATGTTCATTGAATTAAATCAGCCAGTGAGGAATACCAACTTGAAATCAGGAACTCAAACTCTGTAGGAAAATTCTTGGAAGCATGATACTTCAATCGACAGGCAAGTGGACATTAACCCAATTCAGGGACTTTAGAAAAGAGATCAACCAACTGGAAATTAATTAGACGAATGAATAATCAGACATAGGTCAAATGATAACAACAGTTATTAGAGTCAAGATCTGATGAAAACAGAGAAAGAGTAGTCCCATTCACTAGTCAATAACGCTTAAGATTGTCAAATGTCCTAAATAACATTCCTTCAACTTGAAAATCCTTCACTTCTTCACGAAGTAAATGCTGATCCAAAGTCTAAGAACATATTTCAAAGCTCAGAAAACAATTAATTAATGATACGATAGTTACCTTGGCAATGTTCTTATTCATCTCTGCACTTGTTTGTCTTTGGTATACCACCGAATCTCGAATGTTTTGTTGCATCTGGAGCTGATGCTGAACTGGTTGTTGCAGTTGCTGTGATTCAGAAATCTCAGAAGAATCAGCAGTTTGGGCTGAATTAATCCATTTGTTTTGTTGACTTTGTGGTATATGCGGTGTGCCAGTTAACATTACTTCACTTCTGTCAGGAAGCGAGTTATGCTGTTGTTCATGAGAGTTATGCATAGAGTGAGTTACTGATCCACTGACAACGGAGTGGGTGATTTGTGAAGCCATGTATTGCGATTGAATAGTTGGCTGTAGTTAAGTAAATAAACAATGTAGACAAATAATAAAGACTTCAGATGGAGATTTCCACTTTGACTTCATGTTTTTCTTAGTAATGGTGACTAACTGTACTGGTACAGCCTGGTGTGAGGTTTACTGAACAAATATGGAAACGACATTCAGGTTAACAACTTGTAAGCCATTAAGGGATTATAATATTTGCTGCTGTTCATAATAAATATGTATGGATGTGGAAAAGTGATTACCTTTTCTAGTCAACATTCACAAACTATGGTAGTATTATGGTTGAAGTTGGGGTATTAAACGGTAATTGAAGTGAAAATGTACACTATTCCTAAAGGTAGACAACGCCACGTTCCCAATAAAACTAAGCAAATAACGATTGCCGCATTCAAATTTCGCCTTAATGAATTAAAACAAAGGAATTACGACTAAGAATAGGATAAATTTGTCGCATTTCCTTGCAGTCGCTTTAGCTACAAACAAGGTTGATCTGTTTGGACAACCAAACGACTGAATGCAAACATAGATACTGAAAAATGAAGCGAATGTCAAGGATTGGTCAAACTGAATCACAGTAGAACTAAAAGGTTTTTGGGGACTTCGTTATAGCAATAACGATGGCTTAGATATACCACGAACAATTGGAGTGATGATTAAGAGCAAGAAGTAACTTAAATAGAGAAATTCGAAATGAAACCTAGGATATAAGACAGACAAAATCACGTAGAATCTCGTACACAAGTTCATCGGCTCAAGTTTGCACACTACACAGTAGTATACAAAGAACAAGTAAATAGGAAAAGTGACATCAAAATAGCGAAGTTGTATGAGAATAAACAATCTGAAGATGAAAGTAAGTGCAAATATTCAAGCTTTAGGAGATCTCAAGGAGTGAATGCATCTGCACCATTTTGGTCGATTCCCAACCATGTCACCAGCAGTCCTCAACCACTGATTCCTTTCGTCTCGCTGATTCCAACCAGGCAGTCGACATTTCACACGACCAACAAGATATAAAAGATTATGTAGCTTGAATTGTCTTATGAAGGCAATGGAAGATTAACCAGTCTCATTCTTGAGTGGCGATACAAGCAACAGTAGTGTAAGGTTCTACAGTTCACTGATAGCTGCAAGCGTGTATCACGCTCAGTCTCGAGAAACCATAAACTACAACTCAGCAGCCATACACACGTTGATGTACTGAGCTACAAATCACAGGAACTTCCGAAGGGCTAATAATGCTGCATAGTTATACAACAGATGGGGAACAAACGGGCCATTTTTATCACGTAATTGCCCTGACAACCAGACTTCAATTAATGTCCTTTAATTTTCGTATTACATTTTGGGAGCCAAAAGATAGGAAGCCTGACTAAGGTTTCGAGCTTGCTAACACTTTATCAGCACCGTGTATCTACAACCGTGAAAAATGTGATGTTCCCTCGGTGAATCAAACCTGTATCATTGAGTGCCCCAGTAAGAAACTTTAGCAATAGGCTACAACTAATAGGCTTAGGTCAGTGATGAGCACTAAAGACTACACAGCCCCACATCGGGTCCCCCGATGACCCATTCGCATCAATCCACCTAACCTTTAGGAATATAATAACAACGGACTGATATATTAGTGATGCATCATATAGTTGGAAAATCATATAAGCAACAAGAAACTGATTGGGACATATTAGGGACCTTAGTCCAGTAACTAAAACATGGCACCAATGTATGAAGTCTTTGACTGTTGATTTGAGCCATGTGGGGCAATGCAGACTAGCTAGTTGGGGTCCGCGGGGCAGGAAAAACCAGTGGTTGGAGACTCTAGGTGATATGGCTCAGAACCAATGTCAGTGGCGCAGATGTATACACACCTTATCCTCATCTTAACGACGCTATATCGGATCTCACCATTTTCTTATTCTTCCTTTCTTTTCGTACTTTATATTTCTTTCAACTGAATTTTCTTATCTTCATCTTGCGTCTCACTGACTTTTTACTTGATGTACTGATATGAGCTGTGGCACCTCGGACCGTTACTCAGTAATGCCTGGTCCTATGTTGATATTGATGATGAAGAGTCTCTTTGTACCACTTATTTCGGCAATTTGAACGCATTTACACCAAGTCTTACCAAGCTATCACTGGAGCTGGTTAGAAAAAGCGGAGAATAACCACATACGACATAATAGAGTATAATGAATCATACCTATATCATAGATATCCAAATCAAATCAGGAATTTACTGTTTGAAAAAGAGATACCATGCGAGTGGTGACATATACGATGATATCTGCATTTCTCAGTGAATGAACGAGCAATTTGTTTTGCTAACATTTCGCTAATCAAGTCCACAAGGCTTCAAAATATTGACATACCAGAGTTTAAGACATCGAAGCTTACTTACGATAACTCAAGAAATCCTTTTAAACCAACGATCCTGGGTTTTCAAGTGGTTGAAGAATGAACATAAGCATAGTATGTTGGGTAGGATTAGTGTGTGTGTGCATGCATATGCCCCGATTCCGGTGGCGTGTGTATTGTTCATGTCAGTTTGTGAGAGTCCGAGATCACGTTACGTTTTGCTTTATTCCCTCCTTCCCACTTAGAAAATTTTGATTCCATCATGTGAAGAGACTCAACTGCAAAGCGTTCCATTGTTACTGTTGAAACCATTCTGAACAATTTCAATATTATCAAAGCCAACCTTATAGACTATTATTGTAGCATATGAAGCTAAGACTGCAGTTATCCAAAGCTCTGAAAGCCCTTAAGAATTCTCTAAAATTAACAACGACTCTCGTAGAGGCAACAAACCAAATGTGTTATGACTCTTCCCGGCGGTAAATTTCTTGAATAACTTGATTCTCCTAATTCACCTCTAACGTTATCTCTGTATGTGTTTAATTCCGTATATATTTGTCATGTCTTGCATACACACTTCACCAATGCGATTAGTCACTCAATTTATCTCATAATCTCAACTTTGTACAATAAAACACAAAGTTTGGCGCTCACTGCCATTTTCCATGTCCACGATCTCAATCACACATCCACAACGCACAGTACTTTTTAAAAATGAAATAACTCATTTTATTTATTGGCACTTATACACCTTTGTTGATCGGCCTCTGATGGCATAGGACTATGTGGATGCCTCGATTTTACCTGAAACTTCACCACGTTGTAGTTTGCTTAGTGATGGCTATTAGTAACATTCAGAATGTAGATCTTATTCTATTTGGAATTAGTCAGCTGAATGCACTTGCATCCCAGTGTGACGTCCCAACTGGGAGTTGAAACCAACATTCATTGCTTCAAATACCAGAGCGTTATTCATTAAGTTGCTGGGCAATGAGAGCCATCTCTTGTGCAACAGGAAACAATTGTTATTCATATATATTCGAAGTCAGATATTCCATATAAAGAAAGTGGAATAATGCAAAATAACACACGCTTATTTTGAAATCATGAGAACTACTGATGTATGTCAGGGATCAATAAAAAAGCTCTTGAACTGAGTAACACAATAATCTTATAAATGTGTTTTGAAATAATTAATGTAGTGTGATTGGTCATACTTATCTTGGACGCATATTTTGCTTTCTTTGGTCGATATAACGAAATGCGCGATCGCTTAATATACACTACTAGTGGTTAATTAACATTAAATCAGTAAGATGTGGAATTAAACGTGGAAACCACTTACCTTAACATAGGTGTGCATTAGCTGCTCACAATTGGATGGCTGGATATGAGGCTGACTGGATGCATAATGACCATGATGATACTGTATAGCACTGGATCCTGCACCAGAAGATCCACTTGACATACGTGATCGAACATTGCTTGCTGTAGCAGATGAAACATCTGGGTTAGCATTACGACTGTTCATGTTGGAAATAGTGACTGAAGCATAGTTTGAAGATGACATATTACTAACGCCTGTACTGTTTCCTCCTCCTCCAGCTAAATGCTGCATTACCGTGCTTCCACCAGCATTTAAAAATTGTTGGGGAGGCAACATACCACCACGACAAATTACAGGTGCTCTTCCAACTGTCCCACCTTTACAAATTCAACAAAAAATATTGAAACGCTATTTTGGTTTCCAAGAAGTTGATTATCACAACTAAGCTTTCAGATTAAACTATCATTTTTACAGGGTAAGTTTAGTTAGTATGTTTACATGACACTGCAACCAGCCTTCAAATCAAAGTTAAGGAACTGAACCGTCACACAAAAATCGACGTCTAACCAAATCTCAAGCCGACTCAACGAAGACCATGATAATCATTTTATGGTCAAAATTATATTATTTAGATACACATAAATGAAATAAACATGGTCTATCAAGTGAAACTCATCAATTTTAAAAGCAAACCAAAGGCTTTCAAAATCTTTAGTCGAAGATCAACTCTATAGTGACTTTTAAGAAAACACCGAGGATCGAGTGAAACCAGCTACACAAGGAAGCTTTTTCTTGGGTTTTGGTTTCACATCCCGAAGACATCTGACAGAATGGATACTGAAACTCATTTTGTGGATTCCTTCAATCAATTGTCTGGTCTTCAACCTGTTAACGAAGATAAGAAGAGGTGGTTCAAATCTAAACATTATAAGCTAACAATCGCTGTCTATGGATAGGTTTGCACTAGGTATCTTAAACATAACCCAGTTCTAATATTATCTGCGGTTTAACCACACCTTCAGAATGCAGTCACATCGACTCCCAACCACTTACTGTTTGTTGCGCACATGACAAAGAGTTTACGTCTCAGAGGTTTATTCTCATTTATTACGGCAATAACTCATCAATTATTTGATACGGGAAGTCAAGTGGAACCAATGAAATCGTTCATAGTAGTCAACGGACAAAAGATCTCGCGATTTCTTTGAATTGTCGAAGCTGTCACTATCCATGAGTTCAATTTGAACTGTGTTCGAAAGGAGATAGTTATCAATTTATTATTGCCCCGGTAATTAGTCACTTTTCACCCTCTTGTCCTTCCCAAAATATTCTCATCCGCATTCATCATTGACTATCGTTTCATTATTATTGTATTTGTTAGCATTACGACTGTCTCACCCACTTATGAACATAATATTTTCGTAAGATTACGTAACCGCCTCTGTTTAATCCCAATCTTATCTCACTCATTCGTGGATACTCCTCTCCATGCCTTATATGACATTTATCTAGTTTGACTGAATCCATTACTTAAACCTCTGTTTTGTGAACTATAATGTTTTCCAGTAGCCTAAAACACTCTACATATAGCATGTTTATATTTACTGTAGGAATTATTTACTTATTGTAGGCAGCTAACAAAAATCCTACTGACCAGTTTCCTTCTAGTCAAATAATTGCCATGTATTAACTTGTGCCACAGACACTTCACGACTTGAGATTTGTAGCTTATTGGTTATTATTGTTATTCAATAACAGCAAGTATTCCAGGCAAATTCTATGTTTTGGATATCACCTTAGTTTGATTATTTTGTGAACGACCAACCAATCGTTTAGGTTCCTATTTCCGAAAAGAAAGTCATAGTTACTAGATTATTTTCCAGAGTGCATTTTTCGGTACTGAATCTCTTTCAAATGAATTAGTATTTCCTTGTCTCCTCAATTAATATGTGTTTCATTTCCTAAAGTCTTTTTGTTGATATTGATTCTTTTAAACAAAGTTCCACTTTCTAGACGTAACGTTAAAAAGAAGGGATGTTGGCTCAATTCAAAGGTCAGTCTATCGAAAACCAACCTGGACCGGACAGTTCACAAACTTTAATAGTTGGGTACCTTTTAGTTGTAAGAGAAATCTCATTCACTCACTGTGTTCCAGAATCTATACAGTATGTTCAGAAGATACGGTGGATACTGAAATCGAAACTCTTAGAATACTACTATCTAATAAAGGATATCCTAAAAGATTTATTGATTAGAAACTGAAGAAACGAACCACTCCCCATCTCATTACGGTCGCTAAGAGAATTTTAACCATGAATCTAGAATTCAAAGGAGACATCACAGTCGAAGTGCTGAAAAATCGTCTGTCAAGATGTATCAATGGTAGCTTCTATGCTGCTAGACTGCGACCGATATTCTCCAGCCGCCATCTGATTCGACAATGCGTGAAGGATAAGCTTCCACTTATGTCCACATCTATGTGTATCTACAAGTTCACATGCTCCTGTGGAGCTGACTATATTGGACGTTGTAAGCAGGCCCTCCGAAAACGTGTTGTTGAACATTACCCGATTTGGTTCACCAAAGACGAGTGAAGGAAAACAACTTCATCCATATCTGAACACCTTGCTGAATTGGGTCACTCAGCACCTTGAGATTCACCCTTTAAAATAATTTACAAAGTTAAATTGAACTACTCCAAAGGTTTACGTCTCCACTATTTACGCATAGCTGAAGCATTAGCTATACATGAACAAAAGCCGAAGCTTTGCATTCAAAAACGTTTTGTGAAACCACTTTCTCTACCTTGGCCTTAACAATTCATTTTGTTGATTTTGTCAATTTCATTTCACTTCACTTTGGTATACTTCTCTTTTATTATCACCAATTTTCACTTCATTGACAACATTTGACCCACATTTCACTTTTTAATATCCATTCATTCTTTATTCAATGATCTATTTTACAGGTTTCAGCTAAATTATCACCGTTTTACAATTCTTTGACAACACTTGTCTCTTATCTCACCACTTGTTATCAATTCGTTCCTTATTCAGTGACTCATTTTCTATCTCTCCCACTTAAACAAATACCACCACTTACACCGACTGTATATTTTGCATATTGACTGAGCAACTTTTTAGTACAATTTATCTGTCATTTTACCGAGTATAAATACGACTGTACAGCTTGAAAAGAAATATTTCTTCGCTGATATATGTCTTGTTCTGATTCATGAATAAACGGGTATATTTCGTCAGTTAAACAATTGTGGAACAAATACCAAAGTACCAATAAGGTTCTATCATATCACCAATCAGAGTCTTTCCAGAAGGTACTAATATATATATTGTCTGATGCACTTTACTCCTTCACAACTTATGTCAAAGTAGACTCCGACAAGGGTCAGTCACGGAGATTAATCTGTTATATCTTTTTCTAAGGACAACCATTTTAACAGATAAATCTAGAAAACAGGTTTAGAGAAGGTTAACAGTAATAGTCTACCTTGTGTTCTCAAACTATTCGCTGGTGCTGCATATTCGAGGCATGGCTTTGGATTTACTGTACGACACGACACTGTATTATGCTGTCGATTAGGAAGTTGACCACTAACTGAAGCACTACTTCGTCGAGTGAGGGTGGCAGCTTGGAGGAACGGTTGTCCATATTGATTAGGGATCGGTTCCTGACAAGTTTGAATAAAATCAAAAATAACCAAAATGAAACAGAAATTCCTGATACTGCTGACTAGTGTAAATAGGATATTTAAATATAGCTGAGAAAGCGATTGATATTTTAAGATCAGCCTTCAAAAAGGAAAGATAAATGAACGCAGAACCTGGCACGGAAAAGCATTGAGTGATTTTGCAAAACTTCACAACAGTATGCAAAGAAGAGGATGGACGAAGTATTAATGACAGTGTAGACTAAGGTAGTAATAAATGTTAAAACTCCAGTATTTATGACTAACATTAACTTAATCAAAGTCCACTTATCCCTTTGACAACTAAATACAAGAGCCAATCAAAATTCCCTGAAAAAATTCCAAAATTCACTTGTCTGCAAAATAGTTAAAGCTGGTAGGAGTGTCTCAGGAAAGATTTGTCACATGGGATAGAGAATACATAGCAATCCTGAAATCGCTACAAAGTATGAAAAATGAAAGAGATGAATATTAAGGTGATAGGGCACTCATAAACGAAAATACAAGTGCTGTCACTTATCACAAGTTCAGAACCATGAAATGGAAAATACAAATGAATATTCTAGAAGCGACCATTTTTCATCTGAGCGGACGATAGCATCTTTGTATGGTTTCGCATAGGTAAGTCAGGTCTCATACGACCATGCCTAAGCAGAGAACGCCGATAAGCCTGGATCTAAAGCACGCGGGTTGAAAAAGATATTTTCCACTTCCAAGACTTTTTGAGCACAGATATCAGCAATTTCCAAACACCAACGGTAACTTTAGTGGTTCGGATTAACAAAATAAGCCGCTTATGTTTAATTTTATGAATGGTAATATTATTCCAAAGAAGCTTCTAAACTTACGAGACCGAATCCACCTACCTACAGCATACTTCCTACACAACCATGTTTGAAAGTCCACAGCAAGCATGCTTACCAGTGTCTTGTATTAAGTATACTAACAATGGCTAAATAACTCCTCAAGGCAGAACTGATGACTATCAATATCACCATCAGCTCATCCATATCCCATATCACACTGTGGTTTATTGATATGAGTTTTCAACCTTAAACTAGTGGATCACAGTTTCGAACTCCGCTTAGCCTGCCGAAGTCCGGACAACCAGGTAGTATCATTAGACCTAATACATTAGGCGTGGTTCATTGCCTACTGTATGAAAGTGTACGTGGTTGCTAACGGCGTTTATTCGCTCTCCGTTTTCCTTGCCAGGATCAGTTAGCCCTCGCAACTACCAAAGCGGGAGTAAAACCAAAGGAGACCCTATACCGCAGTAAGCATACGGAAGAATAAAGTTTCATACAGAAATCACAAAACAACTAAACAGACTATATGTTACAGTTGGATTTAAATGCACATCAAAAATACTCTTGGGTAATTCAAATCAACTGATATTTATGCAAATAGCACTGTATTGCACACTGATTGAGATTCATCCATCACAGTATATTGTATACATAAATCATACTACAATCAAGCACTACTTCAGATATTTTATTGGTTCATGCACAAAATCCGACGTACGCATCAGAAAAAACATCTGCGAAACAATCCTTTTTACAAAATCACCTGATGCTCTTATTTCAATTAGGGATCCTGACTGAGCCAGTTTCAGCTTAATATAGACATCCTGGCCGACAACTGCTTACTTGATATGACGATCGGGCTTGCATATCACAATGACCCAAGCTTTGCTAGTAAGAACATTCGTTCCTGAAGGTTCTACCATACCGGAAACATTTATTGGATAATAATAAAATATCCAGTCACCGTAATAGTGTTGACAGCTTTGGTGTCATAGGAATCTGAAAATGAAAGTCATATTGGTGGATGGACGGGGTTTAACGAAAGTAAAGTGTTTTCCATTGATGACCAGTAGTCCATGCTGATGCTTCTTTCCTGTGGGAAGAAAGGAGTGGGGAACGTCGGTCTAAAAATAAGCACACACCTCGCTGCCGTCCGGTCTATGGGTGTTGGCGGTATGAGCTTCCCAGACAGATTCAACGCAACTCAAATTAAAATCTCAAATTTTCGCAAAGATTGTGAACGGGTTCGGACAGATGTCTCATGGGCTCTTTGGTCATTCAAAAGTAGTCCCTCTTTTCTTTATAACGTCTTACAGGAACAACTTTCACGATGTCACCAATCGGGAAGTATCAACCACCTGCACACTTCCAGAAGTATACAAAGTCTAACCAAACACTGGCTGACTATATCAGCGTAGAACCTTGCACACAGGTGCTTCGGGTCAAGTTTCCACACTTCAGAGTGGTACACAATGAAGAGGTAGACAGAAAAAGTGATATCAAAGACAAAGTACTGTGAGAGAATGAACAATCAGAAGATAAGGATTAGTGCAAATACTCAAGCCATAGATGTTAAGCAGTGAATACATCCGAGCCATTATGATGGATTTCCAGCCACGTCACCAAGAGTCCTCAACCACTGACTCATAGTTTCATGGACCCAGCTAGACAGTCTACATCTCTTTACACGACTCGGAACAACAGTCATGGACTTCATCGACTGGTGTAACGTCTTCGGCTGACAACTCTAGACTCTCTTCCAATGTAGTCTAACTTCCCTTAGCATAGTACGTTGAGGTAGGTGGTGGCTCAGCGTGTGCAGAACATAGCAAGCAATCTCAGTAGACTAAGGTTTACAACCTCACCAATCGCCTTGACTTTTGGCTAGTACACTTCGCCTGACTTTAACATTGCTCACATGGTGATTCCACGAAACGCAAGCAATGCCACGAAGAAATCTTTGATCGAAACCCTGTAACCGCCTCATGTCTTCTACTTTCGGCGGCCACGTCTCACAGTCGTATAACAGGACAGAACGGAATGCAGCGCAGTATACACGCACTTTGATAGATAGTCGGATATCTCGTTTGTTGGAGCCACAGGTGATGCAAGTGGGCGAATGCCAAACGGGCTTTCTTCATACGATATGAGATCTCGTCGGCAACCACACCGTTCCGGCTGATGCAACTCCTCAAGTACGACACATTCCACCACTCCCAAACATTAAACTGGGAGCCCTTGCAGTACAACAGTTCTGGAGCCTTACCTGACACTTCAGAAGACTCTGAATTTTGTCGCCGGCTTTGCCTAGCAGGACAATATCGTCTGCATACTCCAAGTCAATCAAATGACCTCCAGAAAGTAGGTCAGTCCCTGTGAAGTCAGACGTACCCGCTATGTCGATTAGTGCGCCTATGATGAAGTTAAATAGGAACGGTGACAGTGGGCATCTGCGGTGCACATCACAAGTTGTCGCTAATTCACATGACAACTATTCGTAAGCTCTTACAGGGCTGCGTGAATTCAAGGAGAGTTTTGGTTAGCATTATATACTACCTCGTTACTCCCAACACAGCCAGATAGCACCATAACACAACAGTCGACTGAGTCAAATGCCGCCTTCAGGTCAAGAAATATGGCAAGTGTCGGCCGTTGGCCGGTAGGTATGTCTGTGTTCCAGGAATTGGCGAAGAGTGAAAATCTGACTGATGCACCCTCGTCCACATCTAAAACCAGTTCCCAGTTTGCTGTTTTCAAGCTCTAGTTAGGCATCGGATAACTTTGGAGCCTAGGATTTTGGACACAGTATTAGTCAAACTAATTCCCTATGAGTGTCGCAAGATTTCTCCCTCTTGTTATAAACTAGGATGATCAGTGAACTAGACCAGTTTGACGCCACTACCTTCGATTCCCATACACTATCTAGTACCTCTGTTACTTTAATTAAGAATGTTCTACCTTCATCCTTAAACCTTCAGGTCAGGTCCTGCTGTTTTGGGTCGTTTCAGGTTCGATACAGGCTTCTCAACGTCAAGGAGAGTTGGAGGACCAACATATACGTCTCATTCAGGTTCAGGCTGGATGCTGGACAACTTAAGCGTCTCTGAGGGTCAGTTGAACTGTGCTTCAAAGTGTTCTGCCCAACGTTCTAGCCGCCTGTCTTGGGACGTTATCAGGGCATCAACTTTTTCGGTGATGGTTTCACTAAACATCGTCTTCTTGCAGGCATCCTTGACAGAACTAAACAATTGCCGAATGTTACCCAACGCAGATGCGTCCTCCATCTTTCTCGCTCCCACCACTGCTCGCGATCATCGCAAACGAAGACTCTTGGTCAACTTACGTTTGAGTTGCTTTCGCTCTTCGTCGTGGTCAGGGTCAGTTGGAATCAGTTTTATCGCGTCAATCAGTTGGCATGACGTAGATGAAATCAAACAACGTTTGGTAACCTTCGAGTGTATGTTACTAATTGCTTCTACCAATGTTTCTACAGCAGACACCAAGTTTCCTCAGAGTGAGCATTGCTGTCATATTCAGATTAATGCTTAGCTAATTCCCCCCTAAATACGTACTCGGCATCCTCATATTCCAATCGAGCATAGATCGCAGTCCAAACTAGTATTCTAGAAAGAGCGGCAATCCTCCACCTATCATCTCTAACGATAGCCTATGGTAACGTGATCTACCTGTCTATCGTTGGTTTGAAGTGAGAGGACACCATGTGAAACTGTGTCTCTCTTTGCGCCGAAACCTAGTCCTGGCCAGAAACAAATGACTGCTGGAGCAAAATTGCAAGAAACGATCACTGTTGTAGGTTCATTTGCATGCAATCCTATAAATACCCCAGAAGATTCATATCTGTTTGGTTCAGTTTCCTCCTTTAAGCCTTAAAACCACCCGCCATTATAACTACATTTGAACGGTTTGCTTTCTCAGCAACAAAACTGGCAGCTCATAGAATTCATCCTTTGCATCATCCGCACTACAGTCAGTGGGTGCGTGGATGTAGATTACGAATATGCATCGGCAAGTGTTACAATCCTTCCTAATCCTTACAGATTCATTGTCGCACAGCAGATAGACGGCTGTTGAACGGTACCCAGGCCAGAAGCTCCTTTTCTGCTCTACAACTTAACCCTAAGCCTACACCAGCGATTCCACGATAGCTAGCCA